GCGGTGCGGCGTCTGCAACAACCAAATTGGAACAGTCAACACTACTCTAAGGCTACAGTATGGCAAATTGGGATAGCCTGAAAAAGATGTCAACAAAAATGCAATGGTATTTTTTACCGTTAATTATCGGCTGATTTCTGACACGAAACTGGTTATGTACATATTTTGAGATTTGACAAGTGACTTTTCAAGCTTGATTTTCTAATCATTTATTCACATCTTTAAGTTTTGAAGTTCATCAAACAAGACAATATATGTTTCTATCAATACTCTCACTTGGTAGTCATCTTGCAATTATTTCGCTGGCGCAACCGCGCCATGTCCTGTTCTTGAGTATATCTTGTCCAAACTTGAAGTAAGATGTACTTTATGCATGCATATTAAAACTTCATCCACAGGTGCCTGACATATAAATACGTACACGCACCACAATCTTAATCTACCTAAATATATCGATATATAAATAATATAATGTTTATTATAGATATAAGAAGGTATGAGGGGATATAAGACCCCAGGATCCCGTGATTTTCAAAGTATGTAGACAATAAGGCAAATTTATAATACTATAATCTCCAGATATTCAGCAAAATTTCCACTTGAATTTTGAATTTTACCGTCAAGTAAACTTTCCTAGTGACGTCATTCGGGATTCAAAATGGCGTAGAATTACGGAAAAATGACAAAAAAAACGAATATTTATCGTAAATAACATTGGAATACGGTTATAAATAGGATAAGAAATATTATATGATAGTTAATAATATTGATTGTATTTGTTCGAACTTTATTATACCGTAAAGTTTCGTTAAGTGCACTAGCAGAAATGACAAAATGGATAGAAATCTAGATCTTTAGAACGTTTGGTTTGTATTTTATTAAAGCATGAATGCAGGGCCTTTTTCAAAGGTTTGGGAAGCAGCCCAGCCCTTAATTTTGGGGGAAAATTACACTGTATATTTCAGAAGGGGAAGGAAAAATTTGATGTAAATTCAATTATTGGGGAAAACTGCCTAATTTTAAAGAATTTTCTTTGGGGAAGCAGCTTTATTATGGCTTATACTGGCCCCTGCTATCAAAGGTAAAAAAGCCCTGGAATGATTAGACAAATTTTAACTAAGTTTAATGTAAAACTAGATCTGAAAGAAGTATAAATGATAATCTATAGGGAAGCTGTTCCGTTATGAATATACACGGGTCTAATTAAATTGAATTGGAATATCTTACTTGGACTAGAGTTATGGCCCTTGAATAAAAAAGTGTTTTGTGGGTTGCCTAAGCTTAGTGTTGCCTTAGCTACACACGAGCTCAGAATTCAGACTACTCCTCAGAAACTACCGTGTAAATCAGCCAAATCAATTAAAGACCCGACTTCAACTATTTCAACAGCTAATGTATTATTTCATAATATTTTACGGAAAGGGCTTGTATTCAAGCTACATGTGAGGCGAGTTACAAATGAATAATTTTATATAACTATGTAAAAAAAGAATTTAGTACATTATAATTAGGGCCTTTCTATTTGAAAGGCCCTGTTATAATCAAAAACAAGAAATTGCATACATTGCGTAAGTTCACTGCAGGCCGGATAGCACTAGTTTTTAAGCCATTTTTCACATTGAAATGATTTTCAAATTTTTTACCTCCCAAAATGAATTGTGAGTTTTTGGCGTATAGGCAGTATTAGCAATTGGAAACTGAAAAGCAGGTATTCTGATGTAATAGTGGCAGTTTTAAATGAGATTCTTTCGGACATATAGCGATCACAATTTGGCCGTAATAAGGAACATGTATTCTATGGATTTGTTGTTGGGATACAAATAACAACTAAGTAAATTTAAATAAACAATAATCTTTTAATCAAGTCCCAATTGTTTATATAATATAATGAAAGTTTATTATATAATTTTAAAGTAAATTTAAGATTCCTATTTATGATCAGACTTCCTGAAAGTTGAAAAAAACTGGGACATTCGGTCTGACAAACCATGAAAATCTGTCGGACCGATCGAAATCTGTCAGACCGAATAAAATTGATCAAAATCAAAGAAAAACTTGTGTTAGGACACTTTTGGTTTTAATTTTTTTGCCGTAAAAATCGGCACATTCTGTACAGCGCATTTTCATCTCCTCCCTGTCATACAACAACAATTCATGATCCTGCTTCCATTTTTCATTGAATTTTGTCTCAGGTCTATTCTTTTCATCCTAATTTATTGCTGTTCTGCGCGCTCCTCTGACGTAGATTTTCGAATTTTCCCATGTTTGGCACCTTGGATAAAAGCCGGACAGTCGGACCGATTCAGAATAAAAAATCGTCGGACCTGATCAAAATTTATCGGACATGTCCGTCGCACCGACGTATTTCAGGAAGTCTGTATGATTAGTACAGCTTTATGAATAAATTGATAGAAACAGTTGATTTAAATTAACACTTGAAAGTGTTTACTCTAAGACTGAAGTCTTTATTTAAAGTCAAGGCTTGAGCCTTGTTGTACTGACCTAGACGGTAAAGCACCGAACTAACTATCAATGACAAGTTTCGGCTATTTATTTGCTTCCAGACAATAAACAAACAATTGATTGGTTATTCATAAAGATAATCTAAAAATCGATTTGTTTATTATAATTGATAAGAGCCAATCACTTAATCACTTCTTATATAATGCACTTGGAAAGGCAATCAAAATGGATGCCTCCATGAAATAAAGCATTGTGGAAAGTAAACAAATTATATTTTTTGTAAGTTAATTTAAATCCATCTGTTACACTGATTTCATGATATTGTGGAACATTTATATCATTCAGATGTTTACCAGTCTGCGAAATAAGGCACACGCCCGAAGCGTATAAAATCCCATTCGGGCCTGTAGAAATCCAAAGATCGTAAGCCCGGCAGACCTTTGAATTTAGAATGTGTTTTTATATAAAATCAGTTTCAGTTTCAATATTTTTCTGAAATTATTGTGTAAAACATCATCAGCCTATGTACATCAAGTAAGATTTGTGTAATACGTCATTCAATTATGCATATTCTATATGTATTGTCTTCAGCGATTGGTTAGCGTAAATCATGATACAAAGAATGCCCAAGTATAATTATCAATGTTTGCTGTTTAAAAGAACAAGTAATCTTAAATTTCCGTTAGAATATATTTATTTTTAGCTTGACCTGTTTAGATTTGTGAACCAGCTACGTATAAATTACACATCTGAAGTGAAAACCGGGAGTTAAACTGTGTGGTTGTGTTTAATTAGGGGATGCCTTCATTGAATGCAACCCTTCCTTTGTTGATATAAATTTTGTGTTTATATTTTAAACAAATTAAGTGGAAAGCAGATACTAAATTGACAAGTAATGTTGAGTATATAAAGAACAGAAAAAGAGAATTTCATTGAAAAGTGGCTGACTGAATTTCTGTCCCTTTGTGCTTAAATTGAACCTTGTTGATGTGATAAACCGTTGTCTTTATTTTGCATAATAAATTTTTTAGGCCTGTGATAATCTGTCCGGGCCTCATGATACTTTCGCCTTGGTTGAAGGCCCAAATGGCCTATGATCTAGAAAAGTTTCGCAGACTGTATTGTCTACTTGCTGACAAAAAGAAAAGGTTTTAGGAATGATCTCATTTTAAATCATTATAAATTATTTTACTTTTGTACAGAATAGCACCTTAATGTTAAAGACATTCAGGGGAGGCAAGATTTGATGCCTGTTTTAAAAATTCTGATATTCATTGTCTCCCTTTGCAGTCTATTTTTTATGTAAAACAAACTTAACAAGCCAACGTAACAAAAAGCTGTTTTAGTTTAATTCATTGTCTGAAGGAAATTAATTGAAGTTTTTATAACTTCTGAAGTCAATGGTAATTTTCCAGCTGCAGACTGTTGATAGAACCCGTTTCAGGTTCACTTTGTTACTATTTCGATCTTCAGCATGTCAGGGTGGGGAACCAACCTGACTTTCTAGGCAAAACCTGCAGCATAAAATGCAAAATATTACAGTGATTCAGTTGTTTTTCGAGAACATCTACCAAATATTTTTTCCTCAAACCTCTACATAGAAAGCTCCTAAAGGCACATTATGCCTCAGAAATCATACATTCATTGCCAACAGAGCTAATGAGCAATTTTAAGATTGTAAAATGAGTATTATTTTTGAAGATATCCAAAAAATGTTTTTGAGAGATAGAAATAAAGATTATAGCATTCTTGAGGCATAATGGGCCTTTAACTTCCTTGGCTGTTACTTACTTTCAGTAAAGTTCTTCCCATTCTTTAGGATCTTTTTCCAACTTTTTAAGTTCATATGCAATGTTTTAAACAACTTGTAGGATTAATAAATTGAATCAGTTGGAAAAAGATTGAAAATCAGAAGACTTTACAGCAGAACAAATTGCTTTAATGTAGAGGTTTATGTTTTATTCGAAAACAATCCATTGAATATTTAATTATGAAAATATATCAACAAAAACATATATATCTGAGTAACAGAGTGTTATTATTAGAATGTTCTACTGTGTGTGACTTGGCCAACAGTCATGTGGGTTTGACACCCTGATCCACCCCAGTTTAGAAATACCAATAGTCCTTCTGTAAGCTAGGTAGCTGACTCTCAGAATTATGAAGGAATTCAAGCCCCATGATGTATTTGCCATCTTTGACTTGATGCAAGAAAATAGAATAAAACTTTTCTATAAAATGTCTGTAAAACATGGTCAGATTTCTAAGATGGTTTGAATTATCAAATGAATTCTCTTTTAATAATTGTAAAGTAATAAACTGTGAACACAAAAACTGTATTTTCTTAGTCCTCCTGCACTGAAAACCTTAATGCCAATGAACCCTCAATTTAGCAATACCAATTCAAGGGAAACATTTTTTCTATTCAAATCTATTTGATTGTGTATAATGCAGGGATATGAACTTTAAATTCCCATTTCAGAAATTATTTTTTCATTGTGTCTTCTTTTACTTTGTAATGTTAACTTTATATTTTTTTCTGAATATTTTTCAGATGTAGTCTTAAAGATGATTAAGTTATTGACAGGCAGTTTGGATACAGTAGAATTTCAGAAGGAAATGAAAGACGTTCTGCATGTTTTCTTGCAATAAATACCTGTGTTACTGACTTTGATAAGGTAATAAATATTTAATTACATTGCTAGACACCTTCATTAAAGCATCTTTTCAGGTTTATGCCAGAGGAAAGTGCTTCTTGTAAACAAGAAAACAATTGATTTTCTCTGAAAAGAGGTAATGATTTATTGATAGTGGAAATCTTTACAGTTAAATCTTTATGTTCTGGGAAAGAGCATATTTGATACAATGTGCCTTACAGAAAAATAAGACAAAGTATTTTCAGACATACAATATAGGATAGAGGGTTGATCAATATTAACAGATTTAATTTAACATTAAGGTAGTTAAACTTAAAAATATGTACAGTTTGTATATTATATTTGAATGAAGCCTGGCCTTATTTAAGTCAGATTTTGTGACCCCTTGTGATAGCATCATGCAGTTCATTTAAACAGTGAAATGTTGGACAAAACCATGAAGTCCATAATGAACAAATCATTTCTTGTTTATTTGGTTTTACATACATGTGCAATTGAAATATTCTTTATTATAAAATTGTCTTTTTGTTCTGTCAATAGTATAATGAGGAATGATTTGAAAACAGTTCAGATTATTTCATTTCATTTTTTTAGCTTGTCTGTTTTGAAAAAAAAAGTCGAGCTTATTATATAATGATCACTGTGGCATGTCATTGTCATTGTACAACAACTTTAAATGTAGCCAATTATACAAAGATTTTTAAAGGTACCAACATGAAATTGTATACTTCCTTAATTATCATGACAAGATGCTGTTGTAAGATAGTAAGGGGCGTAATGCGTAAAGCTTTATTTTCGTAGTTATGTCCCTTCTTAATTTAGATTACTAGTTTTCTTTTTTGGGTCAAAATTTGCAATTAAATGAATGGTTTTAAAACTAAATCAAAATGACTGTAAACTTGAAATACTAAAATTGTTCATCATAACAAGGCACAGGAATGTTTGACATGTGGAATATTTCTGAAAAATTTATTTTGAGAGTTTATGTCCCTTTTCAACTTAGATTTTTTGTCAAAATTGCTTATTAAGTTGAATTATTTGATAACCATAAAGATATCAACATGAATTTAAACTTAGAATATTTGATTATCATTACAATGCACAAACTAAGGGCATTATCCTTAATAATAAAAGCAATATTTTAAGGAGTCATGTACCTTTTTAACTTGAATAATAGTGATAAAAATTGGTTATTTAATCAGCACTTCATGTATTTTAAACATATCCAATTTTAGTTAGGCGATAATGATAATAATAAAGGAATATTGTACAAAAATAGCATATGTCAAACAGTTTGTTTAATCAGGTTTTTACAGAGGTGCTTTCAATTAAGGAAGTATAAGCATCTGCTGATTAAAATCATTAAAAACTTGAGCAGCTTAAATTGTAAAAATATTGCAAATCAATTGTACTTTTGTTCTTTGCAAACATAAATAACAAAAGAACTAATTTTTAATAAAAGGTGATTTAATAGTGGTTACGTCAATGACGGATATTAATTCTTATACTGTAATAGAATTATTGATGGTAAGTCAAATAGAAGTAATGGACATATTGATTGACCCTTTTGTAGAATATAATATTGAAACTCTTGCACATCGCTTGTTATTTAATTTGCTGACTCATCAAAAACGTAGTACATTATACACCGAAGCAGGGACCTTTTTTTCTAAAGTTGTTTAATTTTCAATTTCTACTTTTTACCAAATTAATATTTAGAGAAATTGAGCCAAGTTTTTTTATATGCCCCGGAAGAATTTCAGGGCTGCAGGAAGTCAAATTTTAGGACTAACTTAAGACCGTTTCAATACATATTTTCATTGGAACGAATATTGTTTCAGTTTTGATCTTAAGGCATATTTTAGACTTAGGACTTTTCTGAAACACAACCAAGATGTGTAATTACATGCCCCTTGTCAAGGCTGTTCACTTGGCAGCAATTTCGTGTCTGCTCTATATCTTTTAGACCAATGAAAAGAAAATGGAACTTAAATGTTAAGTATAATCAAATGATTTGCAGAGTACAGGTATAGGCTTTTTGGGATTAAGTTTAAGGTCACACCTATATAGTCATTATGTGCAGGTAGACCTTTGGAAATGCGTCAGGCCATCAGACATGACCAACCAAAATTTTCTTGGTGTGATGAATTTAGGTCCAGGTGTCCGGCAACTTTTAATCTGAGTGAAACTACTTTATTTTTCTGTTGCAACATAATTATTAGTTAAATAGTTAGCACAGTGAGATTCTAAATTTCATATCTGTTAGCTCTTGTGGAAGTAACTTTTTGGCAGAAATGTTGGTTGTTACTTAAGAGTTGGCTTTTAAAATATTGCCATCAAAGAGTCCACATTAGAACTCAAAACAAATGATGCCGCCCTTAAAGCTCAGCATGCCTCCAGATGAACCAATATATTTCAAGAAATTAAAGCTTGAGAAAAATTTACTTTGATTTTTGAGAACAGTAAAAATATTCAAGATAAAGTAATAATTACCATGAAATGGTCCATTTATGAACGTTTTTGCAGTGTTTTTAACCATATTTCTACTGTGTTACTAAATTAACACACTGAGTAAGGGCTTTTTCTTCACATTAAAATTTTGGCCTAGCTCTTTTTGGTATTTTTTATAAATTTACATGGGTTGTAAGTGCTGTTTGGAAATTGTGAAGATTATTTTCTTTGTTCACTTGACAATATTTTACTTTTTAATTAATACATTTTCAAAATTTTCATGAAAATAAGCATGAATCTGGGGGTGTGCTGATTTAATACACTTTTACTAATTACAGTAATTAATGTGGCATAAGCTCGAAACACCTTAGAATCCAAATAAATTTTAGTTTTGTTAACACCAGTAAAACTTAATAATTTAGCTGCTTTGAAAAAAACATATATTTCATTGTCTGAAATAGACTTCACATCCTAAGTGTCTGTGTTACTTAATAGGTCACTGCTTGACATGCTGTTCTTTTTATCCTAAACTGGGTTGATGCATGATTTTATGTCATTTAAAGCAAACATAACAGTACAGTCAGTCTGGTCGAAGACTCGGCGGTGATGTGCCGCAGTGCTGGCTCTATACCTATTGACACAGACAAATCATTGTCGCCACCAATATATCCTGGATTGAATAAAACACAATATTTATTTATTGATGAATATTTATGTCATAAATTCACCATTGTATTCAAGGAAGAAAGTCAAGTATTGAATCACTGTTGGTTATTCCCCAGTATATAGTGGTTCAATATTATATTCAATTGTAATCCGCTGGTATTAAAATTATCCCCGTATTAAAAAGGAGTGTAGAGAGTAAGCTGTTTTAATAATAGAATGTATACCTAACATTTAAAGTGAGCATAAAGCCATGTTAGTCAACTGTAATCATAAACACGGCAAAATACGGTAAAATCCCCTGTTACTACTTATATAAACAATGTGTCATCTTCGCATAAATATTGAGAATCAGTGATATATAAACAAGTTAATGTGCTATGATAAAAGCATTCAAGAAGTCCTTGTATATGAAATAACACAATTGATAATAAAAAGGTAAGAATTTTGCTGAAATTTGTCAAATTTAAACTTTTTTTTTGTATCTAATTAAAAGATTTTTAAACAAGTTTATGTGCTATGATAAAAACATTCAACAAGTCCTTGTATATGAAATTACACATTTGATAAGAAAGGTAAGAATTTTGAATGAATTTTTTTTCTAATTAAAACTTTTTTTTTTTGTATCTGAAAGATTTTAAAGGCCCATCATGTCACATAAATTATCAAATATTTTAAATATTTCTCAGGAGCTCTCTATTTTTAGTTTCTTGTTCTATATAGCTTCCAAAATGACACTCATTGGTCAATCATAAATAAGAACCATCTTCTGCTTCAGTTGCATTCTGGGAATTAATATAACAGTTGTAATTATTTAGTATTTTGCATGGAAGTAAAAATACTGCCTTAATTGTGTACATATTGCTACTTTTATGACAAATAATTTCATATTCAGTGGAACTTTCTTGTCAGATAATAGACATCTAACATGTCTAAAACCATTATCTAAATGTTACATAAACCTCACGTTTGCCAAAAAAAATCATTTCTGAGGCATATGGTAATGTACCTATAAGAATTATTAAGAAATGTGTCCTTTTTTCTAAATTAAGTTTATCTTTTAATTGAAAGTAACTCATTAAGTATGTAATAATTATAGACAAAACAGTAAACCTTTTTCTTAGAAGTCATTTATTATTTAGAAATTGTTCTTTTAATTATTATTAACAAAACAGACAAAAATAAATATCAATAAATTAAGATGACACTTGATTCTTTTCCATTACTGTGTGTAAACTACAATTTATTTTGCAACAAAGCTGAGGGCCTCAATTATTCCTTCTATAGCAGTGGCCATTTAAGGGCAGCTTCCCCTGAAAGAAAAAATCTTTAAAATCATGCAGTTTTCCCCAAAAAATTGATTTATATCAAGTTTTTTCTTCCCCTTTGCAAAAATATTGCATAATTTTCCCCAAAGTTAAGGGCCAGGCCGCTTCTTATACCTGTGGGGGGAAAAAGCCCTGCAAAGGTATTTCAGGTGTGTCCAGTCATAGTGTCTTAAAACTGTTGATTTAAGAATGTTACTGAACTAGCAATAAGGTTTATCGTTTCGTCCAATCAACTCTTCAATTTTGAAGAGTCCACTTATGTGGACATTCACATGTTTTGTGTAAATGGAAAACATAGTTCACAGACCCTATACCTTTTGTTGATAACTTTGAAACCCACAATTTGAAAAGTTTCTGTGTAAATAGATATTTTATTGTTACAAATTGATATATGAGATCAGTTATAACAAATGTACATATATGTTTTAAATCTATCATTTAGAAGATGTTTTAGCACTTTTGATGATTCTTTCAAACAGTTTATTGGCTGGGGGATTATTTACACACCCTAACATCTTGTTTTGAATATACTTGAAAATAAGAAAATATGTTAGATAAGACACTTGAGTATTTACTCGGGGATTTTCTTGGATTTAAAGAGTCAGTAAACATCCAGGTTATTGCTCTTCATGACTTGGTCACTTCTTCAAATGATTTACATTGTAATTTCATTTTGTGAAAGGGGCAGATAACTCTTGTATTTTTCTATCTAAATGGACTTTTTTTTAACTGACAGTAACTGTGGTCAAATGGTAATGCTTTTAAATAATGTGGAGTTGATTTTTTAATCATTAAAATATGTGTAAAGTTATAATTATTTAAAGGAAAAAAATACTAAGCTGAATGTCTTAAATAGACTGATCCAACTTCCAATCTTAGGATTGGGGGAACTTCCAGGGGCGGTGGTGATCACAGTAATATATATTTATTATGGGAAAATCTCAGCAGATGTGATTATTTTATTCAAAATAATTTGCACAGTGGTAGCATAGAATGATGTTGCTGCAACTGGTTAAAACTCCCTTATAATTTTGCTTAAAATTTTTCATACTTGGCAGAAAGTCACTACATAAATTATCTGTTTTTTTATTATTATTATTTAATGAAAAATTATTTTGAAATGCAATAAAATGTTCTCTCAATAAAGCAGCTAGTTAATCAATAATGTGGGAAATTTATGACCGAATATAAAATTAACATTTCCATTCAAAATTATCTTTAACATGACTGTCTTAGTCATATTTGGCAATTAAATTATGATAACCAGAAAGCAATAGGAATTAGACCATCATAGATCTTTGATTGGAAAAAATGTGTGATTTTGACCAAAAAACTCAGTTGTAATTAGTTTGGTTAAGAAAGATTTTTATTTCTCGAACTAAAATTCTCCTGTGTGCAACTAATCTTTAATTCTGAGTTTTAACACACCAGAAGCAAATTTTTTGGCCTTGATATTGCATTGAAAATACAGCCTTTTCTATACAAGTAAACTTTATTGATCTTGCATGGTTACAAACAAAATATTACTTTCTCTTTTATCAAACTGCTATGAATAAGAAATGATTTCAAATATATTGAATGGTTCTCCTGACATGTTCATTTGTGCAAGTGAAGGGAAAGAATATAATGCTTAAATAATACTTTAAATTGTTAAAAAGGTACAAAAATGAAAAGAATATTTTTTTTAAAAAATCACCCGGATTTAGATTAAACAGAATGTTTGGTTTATGTAATGATTTAACATAGTTATCTACAAGGTAATGGAAAAAAAAGGTTATCATGATACCTTTTACATCTTTGACTGTCAAATATCTTTTACATCTTTTACTGTCAGTAATTATCTTTAAATGTCAATAATGATACTTGAAAGTTGCTAAAGATCAAGTACATGAATTTTTAAGTCTCTTGTTTAAAATAAAGTAACAGTCTAATGTGCAACCTACCGTATATACCGTAAAATTCCTAATAAATGCCCCGCCCCTAATAAAAGCCCCCCCCCCAAGGCTTTTTGATTTGGAAAAAAAATTTGTTCATCAGTGGTGAACTCTTTAATTAATCCATAATTTTATTCAAATCCTTCAGAATCCATTTTATTTCATAGTAAACACAAAAATGTATCACATGAACTTTAAAATCATTATATTTTAATGTTATAACCAACACTTGTTAACACTAAGTGTATTTTAAATGATGTTTGGATTTAGGAAAAAACGTGTTGTAATAATAGCCCCCTTTTGGAAAATGTTCAGCCCCCGGGGGCATTTAATAGGAATTTTACGGTTATTGGATAGACCTGGACGCGTAATGCACCTGGTTATTTATTTTTCCTTGATAAAGAAAATGGCTATTTTATACACAATAAATTGCTTGTTAAAAATAATGATGTGAATAAGATTTGATAAAACAATGACAGGTTACTAAATAGTTATCATGCATATCACACTATTTTAACTTAAATCATTGAACTTATTGACTCTTATCTAATTTAAGATTGCCATTTAGATTATTTTTGACTATATCTTTCAATTAAAATCCATAAATATCCGCTGTTTACATCCGGATGGCTATTTTTACCTCGGATGAATAGATCAATTAGTCTATTGTTTAATCTAGTTATTAAGATTAAAGTAACAATTATTAACCAATTTTCAGCACCATTTCACATAATTCTTTTGCCGATGAAATCAATGATTTGTCATTGGTCATAAAACACGCAAGTCATTGCTTCGTATCGTAATAAAAACTAAAGAGGAAAAAAAAAATATGTTTGTTCTTTAAAGCAGTATGATATTCAGATTCAGGAAATTTTTTTTTGCAAAATATATTATATAATGTTCATCCAAGTTGTCAAAGAAGTAAAACAATTGTTGATAATATTCAACGTCTAGGAGCCATATATTATCCATTATAGCTTATAAAAATTTCTTTGATGTCATTATGAAATACTGCTCTCATAACATTAGACATTTACCAAAGGTTTCTATGAAAGAAAACTGTTGTACACAAAAAAAGTTTTTTATAAATTACGTGTACTTGTAAATTCAGTATTATAATAGATTTTGATAGCGTTTTCAAGTTAGAATCGATTATGATGTTGAACCTTAAATGTTAAAGTTGTCAGTGTAAGGAAAAAAATTATCGCCTTGAAAAGATGACCAGAAATTGAACTCTGGTCTATAATACGAATTCAATAATGCCAATAAAAGGGGAAATTATAAATTAATTCAGCATCAAAGTGTATTGCAGTGCCCTTGTTTTAATTTACGCTCGTGATTCTTTTGTTTTGTGTAGACAAGCCTGGGTACAATCAAGTGCTGTTTATTGTTAATAAAGGGTTACATAGTACCGTAAAGGGTATGTTTACTAAATACACATAAGGTCGATGATTATTAACTCCGTCATTAGATTACCATGTTTACTTTATTACAGTTAATCTCCTCGAATAGCAGAGTGAAAGAGTCGCCGATATAAGACGCGACATTCAACTAAAATTGGTATTAAAGAATCACAACTGTATCAAAACAGACGCATAAACTGAAGGTAGGGTTTAAGTTTTTTTTTCTACAGAAAGTATATACAATAGTCGGAACGGATATTGGAAAGTTTTAGCGAAAGCCTTTTTAAAACTGTTAACCAACTGGTAGTCTATGGAGTATTGAAATAGAAAATTTTATTTGGCTTGATCGGTAAACAGTCAATAATTGGTCTTTTGCTATGATTAGAAAGGATATTTAATATTTTAATGTGGTATACTAAATGCTTAATTATATTAACATTTAAATTGGAAAGAGTGGAAATTGGTTGGTTTAATAAATACAAAATATTTTCATATCTATTCAACAATTTGTTCACTGTATTTATTAGATAGATGACTTTAACAAGATCTTGTTTAATTTTCACAGGAATATATATAGGTACATAGGAAAGTGTTAAAAAAGTGATTGTAGTGGAACAAGACATCTATCCAATCAGAGGGAAGCTCATTTGCATAATTGTGTAGTAACCAGTCAGATCTGTGGGAGGCTTGTTGACTTTGAGAAAATAGCGACCAGTCTGATAATTTGTCTGAGTGTGAGGGTTATCTCAAGGGATGCCACCTACGGCTGATAATTCGATAGTTGGACTTCGTACACAAGTGTCTTTAACTTCACAAAGTAGCCAATTGATCCATGGGACTATGAAAGATATTGCTGCCATGTCTGGAGATGCGAGCCAACATAACGGCTTTCCGTCTTCAGAAAACTGTTCTCATGAAAGAAAATCCTCAAAATATGACTTCTTTTACAAGGAACCGTGTTTATATTCACAAAGAATTTACTCAAATGCCGCTAAAGTGTTCAGCAGTTTGAAGCACGAGAGTCGTGAGGAATTAGAAAATCCTTACAAAAGGCGACAACAGGAACTGAACGGTGTGCAAAAATCGTCAAAAACTGCAATAACAGACTTGGAATTTGATGATGATAATGAGAAACGACTGACGTTTGAGTTGGCTTTTGAAACTCTGAAATGTAAGTTTGATTTTTTTTTCGAATTTGTTTCATTGTTTTTTTTTCTGATTTATAAATTATAACATGTACTTTATTAAAAATTAAAGGTAGGATGATGGAAATATTCAGTCATTTTGTAATTTTAAAAACAAATTTTGAGATGATAGTAAATATAAAAAATTGCAATCTAAATGATAATTACAAAAATTATTACAAACTCTGGTTTACATAAAAATTAAAGTTGTTCTTACTTATGATTTACTGAGTTTTTAATACAAAAGTTTTTTATTGAATTTTTAAATTACCTGCGGCTTTAATGCATATCAAAATGGAATAAAAAGTCAAACATTTTGCCAATTGTTATGATAAAAGTATCATTAGATAGCTAAATTTTGAGATTTAGATTTAAGGAATATAAATATTTGAGTTTTAACTAACTACACAAATTTATCTAATCAAAAATATATGTGCACTTAATTGGTTTGATAAAGAACATTAAATGTTAAATGTACTGTAATATCAATGTCATATGTATTACGCTGCAGATGTAATATCAATATCTTCCTTTAATAGATTTGACCGCTGCCATACCACATAATGTTACACATACAAATGATCACTGATCAGAAGCTTTGCTATAACTTAATATGATTCGTCATTATGTTATAGTGAAAATAATTTAATTTATGATTATGATTAAAATTTTAGATTATTCAATCTATGACTAATCGTCTTTAGGTTTTAGATTGACAGACTCTTTCCTCTGAATGCATCCAATTTCATATGATCATCTTTATTTATGAAAAAAAAAAATTCTCTAAGCAAACATTGGCTACGTCTTGCTGATTAATATATTTTTCGTAATTTCAATTACTGGCCAAGTTGTCTTTCACTAATATTTAAAGAAGTTTAGCAGATTTTGTGGACCCATAAACAACTTATTGAATTGTAACAATTAATAACTTTTAGAAATAAAAAAAAAGAAGAAATCATTTTGGAACTTGTCCTAATTGAGTTCTTTCTTACAGGGCTTCTTTAAAAGTTTTCTATCAAAATTTTTAATCTTCCAATTTGAATATTTGATAACTTAACTTCAAGATAACCTTTCTTTAAGGAATTCAAAATTCATTTATGAATTAATCTTTTGTAAGTTTTCATTTCTTTAGTGCACACTTGAAAATCATGCTAACAGATTTGTTTTTCAAAGCCTACCAGGACAGCTTTTGAAGAAGGCCTTTTGATACATCCTATTGAAGGTTATTTAAATTTCAATTTATATTTGCTCCATACCTATAATGATTTACCATCTAAAATATTTAATGTTCACTTCAAATTATTGATACTGTGGTAAATATTAACAAAATAGGGGGAAATTTCAAGTACCGACCATAAAATGACTGTAAGAGGTCAGCGAAACTATAATAAAACTTATAATGTTAATATATCAGATAGGATAAAACCAGTTAAATACAAAATCTAATTCTGCTGGTGTTTAAAATGACAGATATCCTGTATAAATTGGTTGTAAAATGTGCAATATATTCTCTAATGAATATTTTCTCAGATTTAGAAGAAAATCGAATTTGAAGCTTGTGATATATTTAGTAAATTCTTTAAAGACGCATGAAGCCTCAGAAATTAATTTCGACATTTTTGATACTGTAAAGGGGCACAAAAGCAGTTAAGGGTTTTTGAGAAATAAAAAGTAACAGCATTTTTAGGCTTACTGGGCCTTTAATTTAAATACTCGGATAATACCTTAGTGCAAGAAGCATTTTACAACTTAATAAATAATTTCAATATGAATGTATCAAACTATAATGTACTGTCTTGTACAGTATATAAAAAAATTTCAGACCTAAGAGAAAAGTTATAGAAAAAATATACAATATTTATGTAAAAATGAGACTTAAAGTAATTGGTAAACTTCTTAAAGCTAAGTTATCATTATGCCGAAAGATATTCTGAACAAACATTTGAGTGAATTAATGACTTATAAGACCTTACAATAACTTAGATTTTGTGCATTTCAGCATCAAATTTGGCAATGAAATCAAAGTTTTCTTGGTTTCCGTCAAGTAAATCAAATACTTAGTTAAGACTTTAAAAGTATTTTACAGATTTCATTGAATTAATATTGGCCTGTATGTTAAACGTTATAGAGTTCAGCTATTTTTAAAACCTAACAAAAGATAGAGAGAAAAATTGGTCAGACAAATAAGTTATATCAACAAATTAGGCGGGACCTATAGACTATATAAACTGACCTATAAATCTTGTGTCAATTTTATAACATTATCCCTTTATATTGTTAAGCCTCAGTTCCTAAGATTTTGTTATCAAATACTAAAATACCTCACAAAATATTGATACAGTGTTAAGTAGTGATTAAAACTGTGCTTTGACCTTGACTTAATTGCATCAAATAAACAGAAAATCTGTTTTTGAATGGTCAAGCACTATAATAAACAATATTACTCACAAGGCAACACAATTAACATAATTTATAACTTACGTTAATTCAGACCTTTTTCAGTCCCAAAATTATTGTCACAGATTTTTTTAAGTTCAAAAACTCGGGATTGTGGTTATTATCAACATAGTGTTACTAATTAAGCAATCAACAAAAAAGAACCAGAAAGTTAAGACTTGCAAAGATATGCCAAGCAAACCTGGTTCTATACTGATGCCATCTATTCGGGTCCAGGTCACGGTTCAATTTAATGTTTTGAGTCATAGAATTTCTGAGTTATCATTAATTTTGCTCTTTATTGTTTGTTTGATTCCGTTTTTAATGCCACACCAACACAGTATAGATCATTCTCTCTATATATCCTAGAATAATTTTTAAGTTGTGTCAGTCTTTTAGCTTGTGGGATATTGATGGTACCAGAGGGTCATTTTATAATCAAAACACAGGTCACTTCGGTTTTTGTTGTCAGACTAAAAGTCACTTATGTGCAACTAATTGTGTATTTTTGCAGATTTTTAAGACAGAAAAAAAAAAAAACATTAATGATTATTAATTTTACAAAGATTTATTATCTATAATATTAACCAATGATTCATCAGAATTTTGCCTGTACATGAGCATTTATTATCAGTTTAACTTTCCATATTATTTAATTTTTCAGTACTTCATACAATGTATATAGGGAATAATAGTTTGATCTCTAAATATTTTTCACCTTTTTCCTGATTTTGCAGCATTAATATAAACTGATACTTTGGTCTAAATATCAGCCGAATTAACCGATTACATTTATTACAATAAGCATGCAAAATGCGCAAAACACTTTTCGGTATTACGATACTTTTAAAAGTTCATTGGTGCGTTTAACGAACATACCTTGGTGTCGAAACACTTGATACTTTCAGTAGAAATTAATACAGAATGGGATTATTGTTTTCAATAGAATGTAACACCCTAGGTTTTACTTAATTGATATTATTGACTTGAGTAGGTATTGAATTTGCCAAATTAATAATCTAAGTATTGTTTTATTGTCAAACTTGACTGACCCATACAGCTTAAAAGAAAAATCAGTTTAGGGAACTACATAATTATTTTATTGAAAGATTAAGATTTAACTATATCTGATTAAAATCTTGTGTGATTTAAACTTTAATAAAAAAACAAAAATATATGGTCATGTTAAATTTTAACTATTATTTTTACTACCATCGAAAAATTTATTTTCCTGTTATTAATATCATGTATGTTGTTATGACCCATTCAATTAATTTACATTATAATTTTGACTTTTTTGCATAGATTAATTTACAAAATATTGTTTCAAAAAATATGATTTCATTATACACATACTTTCATTTTAAAACGTACATGTTGTAATTTGTATTGAATTATATTAACTAAAGTATTATCTTTAATCTGAGTTTTGAATTTAATTGGGATAATTGTTTGTTAAATAGATCAATTATCAAAAGAATGAATATCAATTGATTTTCATTTTACTTCAATTTTTTTTTTTTTAAATAAAAAGCATTTATATACATGTATTATACTCAGCAGACACTTTCACTAACCCTTTGATAGCTATAGATTGGCGATCAGTGCTCGCATACACTGTTCAGTGCTGACAATTTCAAGACTAAACTTTTACAGGATTCTTCCAAATTCATAATAGGGCAAGTCACTTTCATTAACTCATCAAGGCTTTAAATGATTAATCTGTTGAGCCATACACAAATTAACTTGGAAACAGAAATAACATGTTGTGGTATAATGAATAGGTCAAACAGCAGCCAGATTGATCTCTTACCTCTTTTTTTTTCTATAAATATTAAATGAGCTGTAACAATCGGGTATTCAAGTTCCTGTAATTTCACAGAATGATGATGATTACTGGGATAATATTGCTGTTATTTTTGTTGGGGGGGGGGGGGGGGGGGGGGGGGGTTGATGAGCTCTCCAGCTTTGCCTGTATGAGAATGCTTTTGAAACATACATTGAAAAGAATAGTATTAAGATAATGAGATGATTATAAATGAATAATGATGAGCTCTCCAGCTTTGCCTGTATGAGAATGCTTTTGAAACATACATTGAAAAGAATAGTATTAAGATAATGAGATGATTATAAATGAATAATGAGCTTGTGATGGCATGACGGCACTGTTTTGGATAGATTTAATGAAACATGCTATTAAGCTGTAGGTCTTTTAAATTGTCATATTAACTTCCCAAACCACTGGGGGACCACCTATAGAACACTGGCATAATTAAGAACTTGGTGCAACAAATTTATCCTACCTGTAGAACACTACTGGCTTAATTAAGAACTTGGTCCAACTGTAGAACACTGGCTTAATTAAGAACTTGGTGCAAAAAAAAATTTCTTCACCTGTATAAAACTTAATTAAGAACTTAATTGGTGCAACAAATTTACCCCACCTGTACAAAACTGGCTTAATTAAGAACTGGGTGCAAAAAATTTACCCCACCTGTAGAACACTGGCTTAAATTTATTAATAACTTGGTCCACCTGTAGAACACTGGCTTTATTAAAAACTTGGTGCAACAAATTTACCCCACCTGTAGAACACTGGCTTAATTAAGAACTTGGTGCAACAAATTTACCCCACCTGTAGAACACTGGCTTAATTAATAACTTGGTGCAACAAATTTACCCCACTTTTAGAACACTGACTTAATTAATAACTTGGTGCAACAAATTTACCCCACCTGTAAAAAACTGGCTGAATTAAGAACTTGGTGCAAAAAATTTACCCCACCTGTAGAACACTGGCTTAATTAATAACTTGGTGCAACAAGTTTAATTACCCCACATGTAGAACACTGGCTTAATTCATAACTTGGTGCAAAAAATTTACCCCACCTGTAGAACACTGGCTTAATTAATAACTTGGTGCAACAAGTTTAATTACCCCACATGTAGAACACTGGCTTAATTAATAACTTGGTGCAAAAAATTTACCCCACCTGTAGAACACTGGCTTAATTAATAACTTGGTGCAACAAGTTTAATTACCCCACATGTAGAACACTGGCTTAATTAATAACTTGGTGCAACAAATTCACCGCACTTTTAGAATACTGGCTTAATTGCTTAATTAATAACTTGGTGCAACAAATTTACCCCACCTGTACAAAACTGGCTGAATTAAGAACTTGGTGCAACAAATTTACCCCACCTGTACAAAACTGGCTGAATTCAGAACTTGGTGCAACAAATGTTAACTGTGGGTGAAATTTCACTTGATTTCATATTATATTATTGTTCAATAAAGGTATTTCACCTGATTTTTATAATATATTGAAGTGGTTTAAAAAATTATTAATGGAAAATATTGTTTAATGTGCTTTCTGTATACTAATTATCAAGCAAGTTCTTGGATTTCTTTACTCCACGAAATAATTGATTTAATTTGTGTCATGAGTTTTTGAAATGACTGTCCCTTTGTTTATGATGTTTAAATTTTAAAAAGGTAAATTTATACTAGAAACATCAACTCTTATAAATAAGCTAATTATTAATAAAATAAAATCACCTAATTTGTACCATGAAGATTTTAAAATTTTACTAAAATAGTTTAACATTGGCACTTATTTTTCATTATTATAATTATTTTTATTAATTATTTATATAATTAAGATAAAGTTAGTAAAAATTAATATCTCATGCAGTTTAATGTGTTTTTTGAAGTGTTTTTGTATACTTAAGCTTAATTTTCTGTCTTTGAACATTAATGGCTAAATTACATGTTCATTTTAGATAAATCACTCAAACATTTACATTTCTTACATCAATTTTAATATTGTAATGCCCTCGCCTATACAAACAATGTATACCTTTGTCCCTAACAAAATTCATAATTGATGACAAACTTTCTAAAACTAAAATTGAAAATCGAAAAAAACCATTCATGGGCAAAGTAATGTAAAAACAGGGCATTAAGTTTATGCATTGGATCTAATTTATGATATTTGCCCTTTTATGTATATATTTGAAACCGCTTTTATTCTCATTCAATGTTGATATTCAGGAAACTGAAAGAAGATGACAATCTTTCTATAGAAAATTGATTTTTGAATACATCTAAAATACAAAGAAGCCCATTTTTTTTTTCATATAATCTATATATATAATCTTATACCCATGCGAAATGTCTACGCTAAAATGAAAAGCTTGTCACTAGTCAATTTAATTATTGTATAACAAACCTATTTACTGATAAAGTACATAGATTCCGGCATCCTTTCAGTGTTTGAAAGTCGCCAATGGGCGATATTTGAGATTGTAAACATTGGTTATATTATAATTGTTAGCGCAGAAGCATTACGAAAATGGTGATGGAATTTTATTGTACTCTGTGTGATAGGTCATTCGTATAGTACATTTTGTAATGAATTTTACTCTTACAATCGGTCATTTTCGTAAAAGAAACAAAGAGCTCATCAGTATATGTTTGTTTTACGATAGGGTCCAAATATTTTCGTAATAACTACATTGAGACTTGACTTCATGGTTGAAGGTCTGTAAATATTGATATCACTAAACATATAGCCAGCAGAATATTTCATTCATTTCCGCCTACCGTTGAGTGATAGCTGGAGAAAAGAAAATGTTTTCCGAATGCCACATACATGATGTCAGCATAACCACGCGTAAACTGTTTTTGTTAATGAATTAAATGATTTCGTTAACAGTAAATACAAAAAATCCGGTCAGTGACAAAGCACTTGATTATTGTTTAGTTTCTGTCTTTAATCAAATTATTTATTCTTGAAAAGAAATGGTACCAGGTATCGGAACATGTTTAAGTTGTGAAATATTTATGAGACAATTTTTGCAAATCATTTAGGTCCTAATGCAATAACAAAGTTGTAATGAAAGAATGTTAGAAAATGAATACAGGTGTTTAATATTTTTCTGAATATTTAATACTAATACATGTATATGTATAGTACGTATGCCCTCACTGATCTTGAAATTTTTTTTAGAGTAATTATATCTGTCATATTTTGCTGTTCGGATCAGAATATCCGTCCCGAGGTGACCCGCCATGGGCGGGTGACCGAGGGACAGATATTCCGATCCGAACTGCAAACATATGTCAGATATTTTTTCTTGCATATTATACCATATATATTCCATTATATTTAAATTTCTTTATCTTTATTTTCAATGGAAATTTAATATATCATTCAACCGTAACTACTTTCTTACAACAGCATAAGAATTACAACTTTATACATTACGGTAAAATGACGTCATTGTACAGCATGCGACTCATCTGGCACCCCCTATGCAAGATGAAATTTCCGACATGGGTAAAACTCAAGGAAACGCCAGTCTGATATGCAAGAAAGCTCTTTGCTGATACTTTTTGTTATTATAATGTAGCCCATTTCTCAAAACAATTTTATGAAACTAATGGAATGTTTACTTATCATGACGAGGCAAAATTGTTTGACATTGGACATCATTGTGAAATCTTTATTTTTAATTTAGAATTTTTAAACAGACGAGCAATTTTGCATTGCTCTTCTTGAAATTTGCGATCATTATCATGTTAGACAAACCATAAGCATCCAATGATCTTGATCTTAGAGCTTGATTAGGTTAAATAGCAAACTTTGAGTTCTTTTTATTTTCCATATAAAGATGGGAAATCTTGTTTCGACATCTGAAAATATTTTGTCACATTTTTAAGTTTCTACCTTCAAAGTAAACAGCAGAAAGTGTAGTGGGTTTTTTAAATGTTGCATGATTTTGATTTATTTTCTTTTGTTTGTTTCAGATCAAAGAGTGTTCGAAGATTTATTACAAGAGTGTTCATTTTTCACACATTTTCCTGAGGTAAGTTACAGAAATAGCATCTCATATATCATTGTATTTTGCAATTTATTTGATTCATAAATTAAGAAAAGGAATAAAGATTTTAAGTAAAAGTCTGGATAAAGAACTTGATTGTCAAACGTATTGTAAACACTCATATGGTTTCACTGTGATGCAATTTTTTATTGTGAATTAATAATGAACAGTAAGTTATATAGGTGAGAGTAACAGGTGTGAATCTTATTAACTCTGTTTTTGTAAGTGGTGAATATAGGCAATAATTATTAGACTGTGTCAGCAAAGGCAATGACAGCAAAGTCAAGCAAATGTTAAATGCATAGATTCATATTTCTACAAGATTTATAATTTGTTGAATGTCTTGAACGTATAATAACCATAAAAGATGTTACCAATATCTGAGCATTGAAAAAAAACAGTACCATATTTTTCCTACAATCATCACTTTAAATGCCCCTCATGGAGAGCAAGGGGGGGATGGAGGTATAAAGATTTTTCCTTGTCCGTCTGTCTCCCGCCATCATTTTGTCATGCTGTAGGACATTAGAAGTCCTGTGATTTGTATATGGAGGCATCCATGTCCTATCCACGGACAATTATTACTAGTTGATATTTAACTTACTACACTGTGGAATGAAATATAATGTTTCTTCAAGTGTTGCATCATTAGTTTAACCTCATAATTTTGTTATAGCACCTTTTTGATCAAAACCAAAACGAGAACATTTTTCATGGACATATTTACGGAGGTTTATCTGGTGTCACAGATTGCACTATTTGTCTTACAATTGTAATATGATTTATACTTCAAACCACTTCAGTGAAATCTGCCCCCATAAATACTCCATGCTGATAAAAACCTTATAGAGCTCCACATGATTAATGGTCTTAGCGGTCTTAATGATTCTTTATTTGTAAGCTGATTAGTGAAAATATTTTTACTACCTTCAACAAATTAGGATAGAATTAAAATATAATAAGTTAAAACTGCACTTTTGACACTACACTTAATTACAATAAGAAATAAGAAGCCAAATTAAAGAATATACTTTATTAAGCATTAATATTTATAATCATTTTATCCATGTTCATGGACTTAAGTTAAATGGAGGTAAGGAGATCATAGGGGGTCACGATCATGTTTCCTCAAATGACATCAGTTCTGCTCCAGGGACAGGACTCATAGAGTCCAGATTTCAAATAATCTCTTAAGTATTTAAGTAAGTTAATTAAGCTAAGTAAGTAAAGTTTCTTGAGCTAACATTATCAACTTCCATACGTGTGGCCTCTAAAAGCTTCTTAGTAATTATAAGTTGTAATTTGTACAATATTGCGCCTTTATAGCTGTGTAAAAGCTAGAGCACAGAGCAAGAATTGAAAGATTTTAGGATGAGAAAAAAGGTGCATAATTTAAAAGCGCTATTCTTGCAAAATAAAGTATGTGTTATTCAGCATTTTGTATTTCTTATAAAGAAACCATTGCTTGTAATATACTTAAGTGCGACATCATTTTATTTGACAGTTATGCTTTGATAGTAAACTACCGGGGCCGTCATTATTTTTCACTGCTCCCTGAGTCAAGCATATTAATAAAAAAATGGCGTGGTCATGTTAATAATTATTAGGAAATGCATGTAAATGTATACCTGCGTACCAAATTTTCGTACAAGAATTACATAGTACTAGGGAGCCTAAAGTTTTTTGTTCTTCTATTTCGAGCGCATCATGTTTTCATAATGCATAATATTTCAATTACAAATGAACACTGTGTATTTAAATGTTTTCGCCACAGAGTTTTTGTAACTTTTAAACATTTGGCTGTGTTGACATACACTGCGGTTTTTTAAATATATACAAAGATATAGAAGATTTTTAAATATATACAAATACTCAATAATTCTAACATTTGGATTGATATCAGATGGATTTCCAAACTAATCAAAATAATTTAGTTAATTTATTTTTCATAAATATTTATCATAATGTATAACTAAAGTATGTTCCACCAAATGTATAATGAAATTTTACCTTGACCGCCTTTTAAAAGGGCTTTGAAATATTGTAATTTGATATTATAAAAATAGCAATTATGTACAAATTGTCGTAAGTCTGTAATCATATTTGATATTTTTAATATACATATTGAATAAAGAGTTTGTCCTGTGAACATACTTGAAGGTCAGAAGTGAGATTTTAATGTGACAGAATTTTTATACCTTTATTGAAAAATGTCATCCTAATATGATTTACTAAACTCAAGACGTGATGATTTGACTATGATTGTAGACATTTACCTGTATTTTGAACGAATATGGGACTTGAAATAAATTTCAGGGGTATTGTATTAAAGAGCAATGATAGACTGTTGGGTTTTGGTATTTTTTATATATTTATTGACTTTTGGGGAAAGGGAAAGGATTTAGCACATATATTTTAACTTTTAACAATAGCCAAATAGAGTGGCATCAGCAAGAAAGTCTATGTGTATTGTTCTGAGATATTACCGATTTATTTTTCTACCTCCATACCTCCATGGCCGAGTGTTATTAAGGGTTGCTGACTTCAAATCAATAATGACCTTTGCAATGTTGGTGTGACTTAAAGTCATATGCCAACATAATGTTGACTAAACCTCAGTCGTGAATAATTCTACAATATAATCTATATTCTATAAGCCATGACTTTCCTCGATATCTGTTTGTACTCAAATGACCAGTCCCCTATCCCATGTTATTTTATCATAGAAACACTTTTATCTTAATGTAGCTGTCATTTTGCTTTAAGACGCACCAGCACACAAAAGGCCGTTTCCAGTTTTCCAATAACATATTGCTAATTGTACTCATTTTTAGATCAAAGATAACAGATTCAAAACTGTTTAAATCATGGCTTTTCCTGCTCAAATGGTTAGTTTGTAACAAGAAAAGTTTGGATAATAATGAAATTTATTCCGTTTTAAAGTAAATTGTACTCAATGACCTTTCTTTCATCTCGAGGCTTCAAGACCATTCTGGGGGTAAATTTACACTCCCTAAACATAATCCTGTCTTAATTTGTTTATAAGATTTGAAAGTTTAATCAGGTCTTTGACTTCAGCAAGACTTGTGTAAGAGAATCCGCAGACGTCTATAATTGATATTGTTTGTTATTCATGAAAGTGCGTTGGTTTGTTAAAAATATTTACACACTTATCATAATTTCGTAAACTGTTGACCGGAAGAATCTTTCTCATATCTTTGATATAATCCTTAAATAACAAGACTTACGTTTGGCATCCTTTCACGAGTTTATTCAATTCAAGAAATGTTGGTAATGGTTTCTAATCAGTTAAGTAGTTCGTTGACAAATGCATCAATCGGAAAACCTATTTGTAAAGATACATTTCAAAATGTTTTTCATAAGTTAAAATTTGTTCGATGACTCTGGCTTATGATACAGATATCATAACATTGATAAGATTGACTTTTACATTATCCCGGCTTTTACATTATACTTAAAATTGAATAGTTCTAAATGGATGATTCTAATACGCAAATGTATTTATTGAATGGTACAGTTTGACCTAAGTCTTAACTAGCTTTTATGTTCATTCAAGTTTGCTTTATTACGTTATGGGTACTGGTTATTAGATGATTGAAAAATCTATTTACGTCCTATAAATTATTATAAGCTTCAGTTATAATGTTACGTCAAACTTGTTTAATGCATATTGATTCATATATTCATAATGATATTTATTGAAAAGTTAGATTCTACAATAAAGAAACATGACGTGATAGGAGACGTAAAGTATTTGTCATTCTACTCTAGAGCGTCGGGTGCACGAGTTAATATTATTTATACAAACATTGAACATTAAGTTTGTAAACATTATAGGAAATGTTTGCTAAACATTTATGATATATTGGGAAAGTTGTTCTAAACAACAGGCAAGTTATGATAAGACATGTTAATGCCTTTGCACTGATTTTTTTTCCCTTTTAATCTAAGTGCCACTGCAATTTAATAAAATGGTTCCAAGTATATTAGTTCAAGGAGTTGACATCCATAAAATCTTATAGAGTACATTCTGAAGACGTCATAATATAATAAATACTGAAAATAGATCAAAATATCAATATATTTATACTTGATCAAAACTCTGATTAACATAAAAATCTGTTTGTAAACTTATAATCCATTTCTGGGAGCTTAATATTCATGTATAATTAGAAACCTTTGAAAATTTTCTCACCTTTCTACTCCCTTTCATCCATCCAATCTGAGCTTTTACCATACAACTTATGATGAGAATCAAAGCATAGTTTATGTAATGAAGAGCATTGAAATAGTTTTTAGCTCGACTATTCGAAGAATATGAGAGCTATTGTAGTCGCCCCGGCGTCGGCGTCCGCGTCGGCGTCTGCGTTGGTTAAAGTTTTTTGTAAAGTCAAATATCTCAATTATTGCTTGAGATATTCAATTGAAACTTACAATACTTATTTATAGTAACTAGGTACATCAGATTGACAAGTTGGATAACTCTACCTACAATATTGACAGAATTATGCCCCTTTTTAACTTAGAAATTTTAGTTAAAGTTTTTTGTAAAGTCAATTATCTCAATTATTGCTTGAGATATTCAATTGAAACTTACAATACTTATTTATAGTAACAAGGTACATCAGATTGACAAGTTGGATAACTCTGCCTACAATATTGACAGAATTATGCCCCTTTTTAACTTAGAAATTTTACTTAAAGTTTTTTGTAAAGTCAATTATCTCAATTATTGCTTGAGATATTCAATTGAAACTTACAATACTTATTTATAGTAACAAGGTACATCAGATTGACAAGTTGGATAACTCTGCCTACAATATTGACAGAATTATGCCCCTTTTTGACTTAGAATTTATGTTAAAGTTTTTGTATTATCTCAAATATTTTCAAAGTCCATTGACATATGGCTTTGAAACTTTGCACACATGTTCACCATCATGACCCCAACCTGTAGACAGGAGGAGGTAACTGTATCCAGCATTTTGACAGAATTATGCCCCTTTTTCGTCTTAGAATTTATGTTTTAAGTTTTTGTAATACCTCAAATATTTTCAAAGTCCATTGACATATGGCTTTGAAACTTTGCACACTTGTTCACCATTATAACCCCAACCTGTAGACAGGAGGAGGTAACTGTATCAAGCATTTTGACAGAATTATACCCCTTTTTCAACTTAGAATTTACTTTTAGGTTTGCATTCCACCTCAGATATTTTCATATTCTATTGAAACAAGTTGATATTTTATACTTTGAGAACATAATAGGACTCTGTCCAAGGCCTTTAACTTTAACATGGATTTAAAGAAAAATTTTGTCCTTTTGTTATTAACTCTGAAAATTTTACATTATCAAGGCTCTTTTACTATCAAGCACTTAGAATAGTCGAGCGTTGCTGTCCTACTGACAGCTCTTGTTTTTTATCAACTTCATACTAATCAAATGAATGTATAGTTCGCCTGCTTGTAGCCTATACAAATTGCATTGGATGAGTAATCCAGGGCTGCATGCTCAGGACTGGTTTGATCCTCTGAGGAGACATGTAATTTCTCTTTGACGATTTGTCTCGTCCATTGAGTCTAATGGTCATTATTTTGTCTTAATAAGCTCACTCATGATTCTGAAATCTTCTCTCTCACATATGACTTAGAAATGGTCCACTCAGATATGACCAAAAAAAGCATGTGTTATAATTTACGTAAAAACAATTAAACCCCCCAAAAATAAGACTCCATGTGGTAAGTGGTAGGAAAAATTCTGTTAACTATTATTGGGAAGTTACCAGTCCAAAGCTGGGCATGTTTGTTCTTAAACCAAGTGTATAAACTTCTAAACCCCAAAACTACTTTTTCTTCATGTTCCTTCTTATAGAAATTCTTAAAATCTAACAAATTATGTAAAAAAACAAACATTGCATCATATATTTCAGTGCCAGGAAGATGAATCACTTGTATTTGTTGTTGTCTGGGACTATCAGAGTCGCAAGTTCCAGCAGCGAACCCCATTCAAGGAAGAACAACTTAACCCTATTGTGCAATCCGTGGAAGAGGCAATTATAGAATATAAAACAAAGCTGAATGCATCCCTCGCGAGGCATCGGATAAAAGCTATGGCCCCGTCCATCGAGTATTTGTTACCAGACAAAGTGAGAAGTAAAGAAGAAATTCGCTCAAAGCTGCCAGTATATGTGTGGGTGAATCAGCTTAAAACAACGTAAGTATTTGAAATATAATAATATGGATGTCAGGGATAAGGTTACTCTTGTGTAAAATTCAGATTCTGTTCTGTATGATTGATTTATGTTATGATACCAGTTTTTAGAAAACTTGATGCATTTTTTACTTGAAATTTTATATCATCATTAACTAAATGGAAATTAAAGTTAAGTAGAATTAATTTGCAGTCTGAATTTGTTTTATTAGAATAATTGTTATGGGTTTTGGAAATCAGCTTTTCAAAATGCACCATTGTTATGAGCGAGTACGTAGATTAAAGCAAGTTTGACAAGTTCTTTGATGTAAAATTGATGAAAGAGTCAAAGTACCTCTTTGATAATGTATGCAATAACGAATTATCCAAACCAACATCGATTCATCATTGTAACATTTGAGCAATACATGTAATTTAAAGGTCCATTTCTCAATGTAATAATGCAGATGGCTTTAACAGTGGTAATTCACCATCAAATATTTCGCAATCATTTCGGTTTTATTAAAAGCGAGATTTCATTGAAGTTACGTAAATGCTATGTAACAAGTCATTTTTTGCATTCAATTATCATGCATATTTTGATGTGAACGAAATCTCCTCAGAGACCTCGATAACTGTTAAGCATTTAATGAAGCAGATGATTTAGCTGAAAATCTTGTCGTTGATAAATCGCCACTTGTTGCCGGGGACGAAGGAATGTTACGCCTGCACTGACAGCTAAAAATGAACTGCCGACAGTGATTTAACTGTAATTATCTCTTTTAAAAGCTGTCGAAAGTTTGTTTTTCGCCCGGTGAAAGTTTGTTTTTCAAACAACTTGTTGGTAAACAGTCTCTGCATGGTAGCAATGCAATTAAAGTTCCCGGCTTACTGAAATAGAACATAGGCATTTTAAAAGCAGTTTATTGCATTATAAATTACTGTTTAAATATTTGCATAATTTTGATATATTGTGATTAAATATTTTAATAGATTTATTTTTTAATTTTGCATATTTCACTTCCTACATAAATAAATGTCAAGGGAAGATTCAGGTATTTAAAAAAAAGAAAAAAGTTATGAAAATAATTTTTACCAGATGATCATAGTTAAAGGCCAATTATGCCTCAGAAATTCTTTTTATTTTTATTTTGCAAAAGCTTTTTTTAATTTTGATGTTGTTTTATAGTATCTAAAAAGTTAATCAATTTAGCCTGAATTACTTGAGCCATTTTTTCAACTGTTGCCTTTTTGGCAATAAGTATAGTTATAGTGATTTAGTATTTTGTATGGAAGTCAAAATATTACTTTGTTCAATTTTTGCTACTTAAAATAATAACAAAATATTTTACATTTATCGCTACTTTCTTCAGGTTACAAGCACCTAACATTCTTCAAAACCATTATTTTAAGGTTATAAAATTAATGTTTGACCTTTCTAAAGAAGTATAATTTATTTGTTTTTGAGGCATCATGTGCCTTTAATATTCTTTTTCCATTCCAATCTCATGCTGAGGTCATTTTAGTTAGTCCAAAACAACCATTATAATGAGGGGAGATGTCAATTTCATTGCATTAGTAAGGTCAGAGCTCCAACAGCTATCTAGTACTTACATACAATAAAATGACTCTTCTGAGACCTGTTTATTGGTTTGTGAATGCCAATAGATTTTCAACTTATTATCCCCCGCCGAAAAATTTCAGCGGAGGATATAGAAATAGTCTCCGTCCGTCCGACCTTCCGTCCGTCCGTCCTTCCGTCCGTCCGTCCTTCCGTCCGACATTTTTGTCCGGAGCATATCTCTATAAGTATTTGAGGTATCAACTTGAAACTTCATAGGTGGATAGACGTCATTGAGGAGGAGTGCAGTGCACAAGAATGATAACTCTACCTTGCATGATTTTTGAGTTATTGCCCTTTGTTATTTTTCAAAATTGATTTTTGTCCAGAGCATAACTCCAAAAGCTTATGAGATATTAACATGAAACTTCATAGGTGCATAGATCTCACTCAGGAGGTGTGCAGTGCACAAGAATGATAACTCTACCTTTCATAATTTTTGAGTTATTGCCCTTTGTTATTTTTCATTCCTAATTTTTCACCTGAGTGGAGCATAACTCGAAAAGTGTTTGAGATATCAACATGAAATGTCATAGGTGGATAGATCTTATTGAGGAGGAGTGTTGTGTGCAAGAATGATAACTCTTCCCTTTACAATTTTTGAGTTATTGCCCTTTGTTTTTTTTATGTTATTTTGTCCAGAGCTTATCTCAAAAAGTATTTGAGGTATCAACTTGAAACTTCAAAGGTAGATGGATCTCATTGAGGAGGAGTGCAGTGCTTAAGAATGATAACTCTACCCTGCATTATTTTTGAGTTATTGCCCTTTGTTATTTTTCAAAATTAATTTTTGTCCAGAGCATAACTCAAAAAGCCTTTGAGATATCAAAATGAAACTTCATAGGTGCATAGATCTCACTCAGGAGGTGTGCACTGCACAAGAATGATAAATCTACCTTTTATAATTTTTGAGTTATTGCCCTTTGTTCTTTTTCATACTTAATTTTTCAATTCAATTTTTTTCTCAAAAAGTATTTGAGGTATCAACTTGAAACTTCATAGGTGGATAGATTTTACTGAGGAGGGATGCAGCACACAAGAATGATAACCTACCCTGCATTATTTTTCAGTAATTGCCCTTTGTTATTTTCAGCCATCAGTATTCACATAGGTTTCAAATCTGTAATCATTATAGCCATCAGTTTTCATTACCAAAAGACCTCTTAAAATGGAATTATTCCGCTCTACTACATATACATTCTTCCAATGAGCAAACACATTCGGCGGGGGATGGCCATGTTGACATGGCTCTTGTTATCTTAAATAAAAGAAAATGATTGATGCATAGACTGATGTTTTGTAAAACAGTAAATTTTAAAATGGTCTTCACTAATTTGGCATGGCAATAATGACATACTTGTGCCCTCAATAACATTGTCTGTACTAGTTCTTTAAGTTTTTTTTTTGCAAAACATTGGATGGTCAATCAGAATCCTTCCAATTTATTGCCTTGGCTTTCCTTATACTATGACATTCCAAGTATCTTATTTTGATTCCTAATTATGAAATAGTCAGCATAATAATTATAAGCAAGTACTCTTAGAGGTCTATGATACAATTTGTAACCTATGTTCCCTGATTATTAATTGTTTTTGTTGTTTTTCACAGAATGGAGACTGTTATAAGTCAGTTTAAAGATGACCATTACACTTTAATCAACGATGATGATAATTTCGATGGGAAAGTTCTGTATGTTGATCATCATTGTTCGGACATGATTGTGCTCCCCGCTGACAGCAGAGAATATATTCTAGATCACGATCTCTTACAGTCAGGACATATTGTAATGCAGGTAGGATTTTTTTGTAATTTTGACTCTAACCATGCTTCACGTATTTAGGTCTGTTTAGATGGTAGAAATCTTCATGGTCAAGGATAATGTTTGCAGGCCAATAGAATCAGATTAAGTTGACCTTTAACCCTTAACCTAAATTGGTGTAATGGATTTGCCCATCTTAATAATTTGGAACAGTCCATTCAGAGGTAAAGGGTCATTTTAATATGAAATAAAAAAATTGGAGCCACCGAATTTTGGGCCCGGGGTCGAGCATGGATTCCCAGCGGATTAGGGGTTATTTAAAGAGGTCATTTTGGATGCTATCACTTAAATTTATTTAGTTTCTTTTTGATGGTTTTTTTTTTTTTAATTGAAAAATTTTTTAAACACTTGAAATAGAAGTTTTACTATTATTTGATTTTGGTCAGAGTAAAAAATGGTCAGGTTTTATTGATGATTTAAAATATCTCTTGTAATATGATCAAAAGACAATAGGCTAAATGAGTGGATTGCTTTGTTTGTATTGAAGTTATCAAATCATTTTGAATAATTTATTACAAGTATCTATTTTCTTGCAAATCTGCTGAGTTATTGACTTGTTGTTTTATGCTTAAAATCACCAAGAGATGAAATTATTTGTTTACTGGTATATTGAGCATTTTTCATGATTTTCTTAAAATTTTATCATACTAGCTCAGAGTATTGAAATGCTTTTTATCAAATTTGTCCAAATTGCATTAAATTCTTAATCTTTTGCATGTTTTTCAAATAGTGAAACTGACCAATAGTGAAGTACTTAAATAACCTTAAATACCAGTATCGATGACCACTTATATATATAATTCATTAGATTTAGTTTATTTTTGGTCATTTTATGCATTTTAATTTCACAAATAGTAAAATAAAACCTGCTACGTTACTAACTATCAAGTGTAATTTCGACCTGAGAGCATCTGAATTGTAATCCACTGGGGTCACTCGTGTGATCTATTGGTCTTGATGAAATTTCTCTGAGTGCCAAATGATCTCAGACATTTAGTCTAATGGTCATTTGTTTCACATCACTAATTTATAAATCATGTTGGATTACTTGTTGAGAAATTGGTAATTACTGGTTAGTTTTTCAGGAAGTCTGGTTCTTTGGACCAGAGACTGTGTGTGATACTTGACCCAAAAAATTAGTTGAATTCCGCATAAAAAAAACAAATAAAGCAAACAAATGAAGAGATATGAAAAAATCATTGTTAAATTGTTGTCTTAACTTTAGCTAATGATAAATGTTTCATCAGATATTATAAACAACACTAAAATTAAAAGGACCTATCTTTTTATATCATAATTAAAAGTTTATAACAAATCTTGTATATTTATTTTCAGGATAAATCCAGCTGTATAGCTCCACAGTCCGTAAAGTATTTAATTGGTGATGATGATGATGTCATACATGTAAATGTAGGGTCAGGGGTCACGACAGCTCATATAGCTAGTTTAATGAACAACTCGTCAGGACATATTCTGGCATTTGGTGCAATTGAGGGATCAGCAGTTCAGCATACAATGGAACGATTTGGTGCTAAAAGTATCCTTTCATTGAATTTTCATGTGGTTCAAATATTTGGTCTATATCATGGCTGTTCAATTTTACATATTTGTCTTCCATTCAACAATCAGCTAAAACTAAGACATTTACACACATTTATTGCAGAAATGATTGAAAATGTATTTTTTTTTAGATTTTGTACCTTTTCTGTATAATTTATTTTCTTTAAATAATTCAATCTGGTTGAGCTACAATAAAACACAATTGAATACACCTAAAATATTTGTTTATTAATGCAAAATGTACAAAATTGAACTGGTAACATATATTGATTTTGAAACCTGCGTTTTCCCTTATGTTAATCTTCTTAAAATATTTACTGTCATTTATTTGTATAATTTACAGCCTCAATTCAGAGCACAAAAAAGGTTGAAATTAGCCCTAAAGAAACTTATTGATCTGTTTTTATTCTGAAATTTGATAGTGTAGAAAACGTTTGATTTCATATCAACCTGTGAAATCCAGAAGTTTCAATTTGCCCCATGCAAGGAATAAAAACAATCATTTATTCTTTGAAAATCAACAAAAGCCCTTTGTGATACATCAATTAGAAAGTGATTACTGATTAGTGTATTTGATTATGTAAACCATTTTATGAATGAAACGCTGGATAAATATTTGAGGAAAACAACTTCTAGTAGCCTTGAGATAAAAGTTAAAATAGTTTGTACAATAAAGTCGGCTGTTAAACCCTTGCCATAATGAAATTGTGGAGTCTTCAAGAAGAGGACTTGCCAAAAGTATACTTTTGAATTGCCCATAACGTGTGCTTTGACACTTCAAAGAATCCAAATGAAGTTGAGATCTAAAGTTGTCTTGCCTATCAATCAAAGTTGCATTAAAGGAATACAAATCAAACTGTGACTTAATCCAAGAAACAAAAAATTTCATTTCTAGTTAAATGACATCATACAACTGCAATATGATTTTACCATTATGTTTTTCAATGCAGCCCACAATAATAAATTCTCTTTAAAAACCATTATGAAGTCATGCAAGCCTTCAAAACTATACATTCTTATCAGATATTTAACATGCACTAAAATTAGCTAAAGTAAAGCAGGACATGTTCATAATTTGCAAAAGAGATGATGCTGCAATAGCTTTTCTTTTCAATTTACACCTTCTGTTGCAAATATTTAAAACAGCATATTGCCTTGAAATTTATGCTAATTTTCATGAAAATGTTGAAAATGTAATTAAAAGTAAAAATTCTGAAGGGAACGTAGAAAATAATTTACACATTGCAAATGGCACTATGCAATCAATGTGAATTATAATTCAAAAAGATGTTAATTATGCAAAAATAGCCCTTACTGTGTTTGACACAGTCAGTATAAATATGGTTATAGATACTGTAAAATCATTAATGGCACCTAACAATTAAATCATTACTTGGATCTTGAATCTTTTTACTTTTCTTAAAATCTTATTACATATTTCTCAAGTTTGATTTTCATGAAATATTTTGGCCCTTCTTATGAGGCATGCAGCTTTAAACTTTAAAAAACTTCTGTAGTTTTTATTTGATCTGTACATCTATATTGATTTGTGGAAAGCAATAAATTGCATGTAAACTGTGCCAGCTGAAAATATTTGCGGTCTTGCTGTTCAAATACGACCTTCTGCTGTATATTTAAGATCAGCTTCTGTCCCGTCAAGATAGTGTTTCATAATGCCATTACGAAAAACATATCTTTTCTTTACCTGTCCGTCTGCTGCACCATTAAACGTTCCTCCGATCAAACCGATATTTACAGTTCGTGCTTTTAAATTGATAACGAGCGAACAAAAAGTCACTACTATCGCGATGTTATTGGAAAAAGGCTGCGGTCCGATTTCAATTTACTTTATGTTTTATTAGTTTCTGTATTTGATAAGGTGATATTTGATGATTAAACGTTGACATGGGACAAATACGGTTGCTGATTGATGGATGATGTAAGGTTAGAATCAATACAAGAGAAGCTGATTAGGTTGATCGAGGAGACAATTAAGATGTTTATTTGGTGTTTTGTAATTGAATGACCGACAAGGTGATATTAGAGAGTCTGGGAATATTCCGATGAGAATTATGTTGTAACTTTTCCCTTAGTGCTGTAAATATTTGGCCTTGGTTTTTTGTTTGTACTTGTATGATCTTACATCAGGGTATTAATCTTTGTATTGAAACAGTTGCCAAGGTAATAAAGTGACTTATGTTATCATTATTATAGGTACCGAAATATGAGAATCAAATATGAGGATCAGGGGTTCCATTCCAAGGTATACATTCTGACTTATTTTAAAGAGTACATTATTAATGGAGACGTTTTTGAAATTTTGCCTTGCTTTGACAAAAGATGTTACAAAAAAGAAGGGTTAAATGAATGTTGAATCATTGTTCTTTTTGTAATTCATTCTAGGTTGCTTTTGTACTCTGGGAGGATCAGGCGTGGTAAGAGGAGGAATTGTTAACAAAATTTGAAATTTCCATCGTCCCAATTAATTTTATAACTAACAAATATGATCCTTAACATAATGTTTAGATATAAAGATTCAGACAGAGTCGTTCCTGGATATTGATACAGACGACAACAAATATAAGAATGTTAAAGTGGTGTTGGTTACTGCAGATTGTAGTAAGTCTGGGATAGCTAATCCCATAGACTTTGTGGTCAATGAAGGAGAAGGTAAGTCTTGCCTTAATGTTTCATTGTGAATTTGCCCATTCAATTTCATTAATATGAGTTGATGAAATATAAATATTAGGAGCATTCAGTAACTTCATGGTCATTTTTCTATGACCTTTTCTTGTTTGCCTGCTTTAGCTCAATAGGGAGATGCAATTTGTAAACAAGGGATCGCTCCGGTTCGATCCTGGGGGTGGGGCGAAAAATTTGATTATATTTGATCTTGTACATTGATTCTTATGGTTGGTAGATTCAGAAATCATGGGGGAGTTGGTAATGAAAATTGTAAATTAGTAATTACTGGTTAGTTATCCAGCACAGTCTGTTAGGTCAGGACCGACAGTGGTAATATTGTTAAAATTTTAATCAGTGAAAAAATTGCAACAAACAAGCAAACTATTACTGTTAATTTCACAGCTGGTATAAAAGTATTGCTTTATTATAAAAATAATGAAATGTAGTAAAGATTTATGTACTGAGTACTCTTTTGAGTGTTAAAAAAATAATGTAAAAAGAGATTAGCTGTGCACATTTAATAAGCATTTTATAATATTGGTTATTATATTATTTTCTTCTAATATAATTATTTTGAATAAGTTGTTGTCAAACATATTTGAACGACTTATTAAAAGACCTTGTACCAAATCCTACATGATCTACCATGACACTTTAATGAATACCTGGCTTTCAGTTACTGTAGAGAGTTTTATGACAGTTTTAACAGCCCGTGATTAGACCCTATTGAGTTGTCAAGGATTTCTTTCACGTAGAAGATCAAAAGTGTATCTTCGAGGCTTTGAAAGGATTTTTTTTATATATATGTTTTATGTAAATGGTATTGCGTTAGGTGTACATTAAATTAACATAATGAAATTGGGCTTAAAATAGATTCTGATTATGTTATTAAATGAATATTTTATGAGAAAATATTACGTGTGAACTTTTGAGCCTGGTTTTAGTCCATAGTCTTTTTGGCTTTTCACAGTTTATGTAAATATAAGGAAACATTTTTTATTTACTTTAATTCAGGCTAGCTGCACTTTAAAAATGCTTAGAAATTTTTATAATGTTTATGTTTGTTTGTTTAAACTTGTTTTAGTATTATTTACTGAGCAACATAAATAACTTTTAATTAAAATGCTATGACATCATCACATTTTGGAAGCTGCCAACAAATTTAGAAAAGTTAATTTTGACTATTTGTGAAAGTAATTAACATGTAAATGAAGAAATTAATATTATTTGACAATATTTACAAGAGCCATTTAAAAAGTGACCTTTTGTCTGCAATTTTATATTTGAGAAACGGAATGTTACATTGTATATTTAATATACATGTATTTGAAACAAGATTATAATTATGTATCACTTAAAGGAACTCCACTGAGGTCCACAAGCCTAAAAACTAAAATTTGAATTTCTTACATAGATCAGCTGGGGCACTTAAAACACTGACATCTAATACAAAAGATTATTAAAAAATATATATTTTCAAAATCATATTTTTGTGCTATTTTTTGCCCATTTGAATGAAAAGTGTTGCAATGCTTTTTAATTTTTTTTGTCATTTTTCACAATAAGAATAATTATTCTAGAACATGTAGAAAAACAGAATAAGCAAATGATCTGAAATTTTGCACACAATTAAGTGGTCAAGATCTACATTAAATGGAACAATTATTTAATCTTGAAAAACTATTCCCCGTCCTGCCATGTCAAAACCCTCAGTGGAGTCCCTTTAAAGCATATACCTATCATGCACCATGCACCTTGCTAGCCACAAAGCTGAAGGTCTAGCTTTTCATGTTTTCTAGTATTTGGATGGAGGGGAGGGTATTCTTTCCTTTAATCTATTATTGAAAACTGTATATAATTTCAGATATGAAGATATTAAAGTACCTGTCACTAGGGGAGACAGACGATACCAAACTTGGAGAAATGATTGCTAACCATGGAAAAGTTCTACGGCAGGCCATGAAATGTGGGTTTGACTATCATAAAAAGTTTTACATATATTTTTTGGTGAATTTTTCACGTTTTGATTGTAAATACAATTGAAAAAGTTGGACTTTTAATAAAGACCCAAAAGAGAACGTATGGTTTGACTGTACTTGAATAATTCTAACATAAACACCCGTGATTATAAATTATTTTGATAAATTTAGCATAATTGAAGTGTAAATTTTATTTTAAAAACCACAATAAAATCATTCAAAATAATTCTTTAAGGTCAAGTATTATAGAAATACATGCAAAAGTTTATAAAATGAGATAAGAATTCCATTTAAACTGCCTTCAATTTTTGTTATATATTTTTCAATGCTTTTATTTATCTTAGGGTTTATTATAATATTTCATAGTGCTATTTTAACCTTGAAAAATTGTAGAAGTGCAAATAACAGAACTTTTATTACACAAATTTGATTTGAAAATACCGATATGCAAGTTAGTTTGATGAATTTAAAGATTTTAGATTTACTCCAAGTAACTGCTTATCTCAAAAGTAGTCATTTTATTTCAGTTGTTTAATAATTCTGAAATATCTTTAATTTATTATCATCTTTTCTTTTCATTTCCAGTAAGCAAAGTACAGGCTGTTGTTTATATGACCAGATCTGTGAACGAGTCAGAGAATGAAAATGTTGTCACTAAAGCTGTAGAGCAGACAAATATGATACAGCAACGCAAGTTCCCTTACAGAGTTGTTCCCCCTGTTTTACCATTCACAGGAAGTGATATTGAGAAAGGCATTGGTATTTGTGGGAAGTTCATAAAGTTTCAACCATCAGAGAAAAACAGTGGATGCTTTGTTGCTGTCATTACAAGAGAGGTATACATATATATATGTATTATAATTATAATTTTTTTGACAAATTCTGCATATTTTGTCAATTTTAAGCCATTTTGTTTACTGATGTATTTTACTTAAACTTCTTGGCCCGAGTTGACAATTCTTTCTTTTCTTTCTTTCTTTCTTTCATTCTTTCTTTCATTCTTTCTTTCTTTCTTTCTTTCTTATTTTACCAGAAGTAAGTTAAGATCTTAAGTTACACTTAAACTTACACTTATATTTTCCTTTTGTTAGTTTTTCAAGAATGCTATTAACTTGTGGAAGAAATTTCAGTTCATAAACATATGGGAATTTAAATGCAATTCATATTTCATTATGTATAAAATTTCAAACTTATCTCTTTTCAAGGCCTAAAAGTATAATTTTATCTTTTTTCATATAACAATTTAATTGTGATGATTAACTTGTAGTACGTAAGTATATATTATACCTAGGTCACTGTTAATTTGCAATTTTCTCTTAACATATAGATCTATTTTTCTCAATTTTTTTTTTTAAATTCCATGCGAAGTTAATTGAGACGTAAAGCCATAAGGTTACTGGAGATTGTATATATAAGATACTGTCTATTTATTGTATTATTGTCATATTTGTCATTGATTATATGACCCTGTGCCATAAATTTGAATTTATTATATTCATTATGTTTATTTTGTAACAAGGAATAGTGTGACATTTTTTTAAACTTTAATTTTTTCATAATTTTTGAGATGAGCTTAACAATTTTGAAAGTAAAAAAAATAATCCTTAAAAGAATCTGCCTATTAGTTTCATTATATAACCATTTAGCCTGCTAAAGAGAAGTGATTCTAGCCATGCAAACAGGGCAGGTTAATATTAAGCTGGAACTTCTGTGCCATCTAATGGTCTACACTGTTTACTAATCAGTCAGTACTAATATGAAAATTTTCCTATGGTTTTGTCCATGAAAGCTAGATAAGACATTTACAGTATTAAGGTGTGGTGATGGTTAAAAGAATGACAAGCAATTTTCATAGAAAAGCTAAAATACTCATTTTTTTGCTTAGTATGTAAGTGTGCCAAATATTTTCAAACAAATTTTCTGTGGACAGTATGGACTTCTAACAGAAAATTCTGATCCTCAAATTTTAGAATGACACTCATTCATGTATTTGATGTAGCAATGTTAAACTTTGAAATTTGTACTTTGAACAGATAGGAAAATTAAAGGTGAATATAAAATGAACTGGGTTTTTTTTTTTTCATTTTTTAGCCTGAAGATATCAAAGAGGCAAATAAAGATATCTTAGAACGAGCACGTGCCAAAGGTCTGTTAGGTGGCAAGAAGAAACAGAAGAAAGCTGTTGAACCAGAGGTTATCGCCAACGGTGATGCTGAGGAAGGTGACGATGAGAAGCTTTTAGAAAGACGTGTTAAACGTTCACCTAGGAAGTTGCGCCCCACGCAGTCTTACCCAGCAGATTTCAATTATTCCAAACCATCAGCAGTGAGCATCGTTAAAGCTCAGATCAACAGTGCTAATCCTATACAAGGCCACAGAGCAACCAAGTCTTCAGCTGCAATTGGGGCACGGCCAAGAGTGCCTCGTCTTAGACCTCTTGCGGAACCAATTGAAAAGAAAGATAAACCACTGAAAGTTTCTGAGCATGTTAAAGTTGTGAAACATCCCGCTCCGTTCAGGTGAATATTGAATGATGCGAAACAGTGTAACCACGAAATCCCAGATGCAATAATTACATCTTTACTCTTTTCATTACGCAGCTGTACTCTCATTTCACTCCTGATATCAGCAAAAATTACTTTCATCTATTTATTTAAAAAAATATTTTGTTAAGCATGTAAAAAAGTACAGATAAAAAAACAACAGAAAACTCTTTTTTTTTCAAACTCAGTATGTTTCAAGATATGATCAATCTAGTTTTAAAGTAGAGTAAGTCTTTCTTGAACTCCTAAATGTCATTGGGAAAACCCCCCAAAAAATGTGATCTTACAAAATTAATGTATTATGTTCCAGATAAATTCAATATGTAAATGTAGAGAGATTATTTTCATCCAGGGTTATTTGTTCAAAGCTTTTTTAGTATTACAGTACTGGGATAAATGTTACCAGTATTAACCAGTCTTGTATTTAAGACCGACATGTAGCAATCTAGTCATTTTAATGTTTTTCAATTAGTTCTCATTAGGTGCTAAAATCTACACTCCACCCACAGTCCATCCATTTATCAACATTCAGTCGTACCCGCAATTTAACCCCTCCCACATTCCGCCCATTGATGTAAATACTCATTTTATTCACCTTGACATTAAGAAAACTTCTATTATAATGATGTACCTTGTGATAATATATTTCAGTTTTAAACTATAAAGCAGTGTCAAAGACATTTTCATAGGTATATTTTTATTTCAGTTATAATATATATTTATTTATTTTCTAAATTTCCAAAGTTTTATCCATTTTTTTAACCTATAAGAAACATATATATAACAGTTATATGACATTTTTTACCCCATATATAAACCATACCATTTCTACCATTTTTGAACTGATAAATTTCCTTTTACACTCATTTTTATCATTCAAAAGTTATTATTTAACATTAATGTATTCACATTATTTAAAGCATTAATATATATAGGAAAGCAACCGTTTTATATAATATTTTGGTAAACTAAAAGAGAGTACAGGCTGTCTTATATAATGCATTCTTGAACTCACTTGTGCATGATACATTATTTGTATATACATCAGATGCTTGACTGATACAAAAAGACAAAGAGTGCATACTTCCAATTATATTGAATTCACGTAAAGGGACTCCACTGAGTATTTTTTATTTTTTTTTAATTGACTTGACAGGAATTTTTTTTTCCGGATTTATATACCATTTGATTAGGTTTATATCTAACTGCTAACTCCAATTTTTCCAAAATTATCTTTTTTATTGTGCAAATTGACCAAAGAAAATGAAAAGCGTTTAAATACTTTGAACTCAAATACGGCTAAGAATGGCACATGATATTAAATTTCAAGTACATTTGTATTAAGTTTGAGTAAGTGACTACTTCTTTAACAACGTTTTTATATTTTCCTGTTTTAATTGCCCTAGTTGATCTATGTAAGGTCTATTTTGGACCTCAGTGGAGCTCCTTAAAGCATGGAAAGTGAATTTGACAAATGCTTTTTTCTTTTCTTTGAATGCTGTTGTCTTAAGGTTAGATAAGCTGGATATCACATGCATTGTGTGGACCATTATTTTTACAATCAAAGAAATCAATGGGTCTCTGTACTTGATTTATTGATAACATTAAAAATAAGAAGAAACTGGAGATCAGTGTTAAATTCAAGTCACTGATTGGTTGATTTCATATACGTTTTGTACTTTATTTGAAATTGACCAATAAAATTCAAGACTCAAAGGTCTCAACTTCTTAATATTTTTAGATGTAGATTTTGTAGAAAATTACATGAAAACATTGCCTTTTCAATGAAAATTACATTGCTTTTCCAATGAAAATTACATGAAAATATTGCTTTTGCAATAGAAATTAATGTAAACATTGCTTTCTCAATGAAAATTACATGAAAACTTTGCTTTTTCAATGAAAATTACATAAAAACTTTGCCTTTTCAATGAAAATTACATGAAAACTTTGCCTTTTCAATGAAAATAACATGAAAACTTTGCCTTTTCAATGAAAATTACATGAAAAATTTGCCTTTTCATTGCCTCTTGATGTGATTACAAGGACAACTGCAGTATATTTCAAAGCTATTTTCTCTCAAGACAGAAATGCTTTTGTTTACCCCATTCCTGCATGGCCTCTTTAAAGAACAGTTACTGTACTACTGTATGACTGCATTTAACTGCCAGTATTTTGTTACAATGATAATTATTACTGATATTATGTTTTTTTTAACCCAAACTTTGTCTTTGCTTGTTGCAGTTTTTCTGCACTTTCAGGTTTACCATTTCAGTGAAAGTACATTGGAATGCCAAAATTGCTAAAATTCTTTTCATTTTAGGACTTAGAATTTTTTATTGACACACTTGTCATAAGAATGATAAGATAGCCAGATTTTGATTGAATATGTCACCTCATCACAAAAGTGTTTTGTTTTTTATGAGTTATTAATATTCTCACACTAGGTTGGTGATTTGTCCACATTTTACACAGTAAGGGTATATAAATGTGCCTTTTTTAAGGAACCAAAGATATGAATAGGTTTGTTACAGTTTACATAAATATATGTGCCTTTTACCCTGCATACACCAGTTAGCATTATCACATTCATGTATTTATATATTTTACTTGCATGTTCAGTATTTCAGTGAAGGAAGCCTAGGTAATTTTTATTTCTTCACATTTTCTGATTTCATTATTAAGCTGCCATATTCTTGGAGGAATTTTTCTCATCCAGTGCTGAACAAATGCATGACAAATGCACAGTTGATTTGTTTATATGTATTTATGTGTTTTGGCATAGAAATTTTATGTAAAAGCCATGTTAAATTGCAAGAAAAATAAACCATGGACGTTTCATGCCAAGACAATGCCTTTATAGTGCTTTTATGTGTAGATTTGATATTGAAATTTTCTAGATGTCTGAATGATAGGATGAATGAATGGATGAATGATTGATTGATTGAATGGTTGTTTTTTTTGGTTGGTTGATTGGTTTTTTGGTTGATTGATTGATTGATTTTGTTGCCATGATCGTATTGTAAACGTTAAGGTTAACAACAATGTAAAAAAGAGGGGCTCGCTCTTAAATGATAGAAAGCCGTCCTAGTAATTGTGCCAGCAGGTCACAAAAAAATTAAACTACAACCAGATGTATCAAGTCGATTAATTAAATGTTTTCATCAAGTTTAAGTCAAGGTATTTTTTATGTATAAAAGCTATATTTTATTCATGTTTCTATTGAAATTTATGTATCATGACTGAAATGTAATGACTTCATTTTGCATTGTGTAATGTATTTGTATCTATGCATGCATGTTTTACAAATGCTTTTGTTCCCAGTGCATTTTTTCCTTATATGTACATGCTGTGCTTAAATTTCCCTGAATGTACCGTTTCTTATTTATATTATTATTGTTGATTGAATTTATATGTTTATATTTTTGGTTTTATTACACAGATGTATTAAACTGGTAGTAATTTTAAAGAAGTCAAAATGTGCCCGAAAATATAATTTAAAAACAAAACGTATAAAAAATATTAAAATGATTTACATCGATAAAGAAAGAGAAGAAAATATTGTGTAAATTTTGATTTGAAATTAGCAAAGCATATTGTTTTATTTAGATTATATACCTTCCATTATTAGGTAACTGCATTTCAAAATCTTTTAAATATCTAAATCAGGGGCTGTTGTAGCCATTTCAACTGTATAAAATTTGTGATTAGTCAAAATGCCTGATAACTAGAAATATATGTTATATTATACACCTGCTTAATACATTTTAACTGTGTAAAAAATCCATTTTTTGTTAAAAAAATTTTTCATGATAAAGCATGCACTTTAATTTTCATTTTCATTTATTAGAATTTATCATTCATTTAGTTTCATTCATAAATTTTAAATGAATTGGAATAAAATATGTTAAGATTAAATGGTGCTTTTATATTTAATTATGTCAGATTAGTAAAGAAACTTGATAAGGGTAAATGAATTTTGTTGTTTTAACCATTTACCTGCAGAAGCTGAAAGTTTAAGCTTTGAGATATACAGACTATTTTAAAGCTGGAATATTTTAATTTTGTCCATTCATGTCTTATAAGTTTCAGACTATACAATATGTTCTAAATATGACTTATAATAAAAATGTTATGTGAACTTTTTTGTCCTGTTTCAAGCTTCAAGAATTCCCGTTCAAAGCCTTACAAATAAAATCTACTAGAAGGGGCCACAACTGCGATTATCCTGTTATGTACAGAAACCAAACTGTGCCTTATTGCCTCCCTTGTGATATATAAACAAATACGATCTCTTATTTGTAGAAAAAGGAAAAAGAAAAAACCAAAGACACTTGTGGGATAGGTAAAACTGGTATTGTTTTCACCTATGAATTGAAATACATAAAAGTCACTTTTATAGTATCTGTTCACAAAATGGCTACCTGCTAAAAAAACAAAAAAGCTCAAAATATGCCTACCTGGCAATTCAATGAACATGCACTGAAATTAATGGCATAAACAAGCATCAATGATGTGTACAATTACTCTATGTATCTGTAACATTTTGTTCTACAAGCTACAAAACAATTTTTGCATTAACATTGTTTTCTGTTACAGCTATGATTTTGTACTGGAGACATGAAAATAAAAACTTTTGCCAATCAAAATATGTACTTGAAAATCCATCTGTTTTAGCAAGAGCCTATTAAGCATGAATTGTCAATTTTACACACACACAAATAATTTTCATTTTTTATATTTTCAATGAAGGAAGCATGATAATTACATAAGAATGGCAAAAAAAAATCACTAGATTAATTTCTATTTTTTTTATATACGAGTATCAGTGTGTGACTTCTGTATTTCAAAATTGCGTGTTAGCTTAAAATATTTAGTCTAACTTACATCCAGTCTGTCAAAATTTGTATGAAGACCAAATTTGTAATGGTTACTTCTTTCAGAAATATAATTTATGTGGCCTAAGGGAAAAAAATCAATACTTTTACATAAATAAATGACATATTAGAACGCAATCAGTAAATATGTAATATAAGCTATACATTATAGCGAATAGGAAGAAAGAAAGCATTGTTAGTTTGTTACCTTAATTGTTAATAATATATTGACTTCACTTCTATTGCTTTTTAAGAATAATCACAACTTTGGCATGTATGGAATGAATACATAAACAAGGCATGAAAATATATGATTGCAGTTATATTGTTGTTGTTGTTTTTGTTTTTTCAAACGTGTATGCATGCATATTTGATTATTATTATCAATGTTTTATGTAAGAATGGGTATGCCATATAAAAATGTATATCAAATATTGAACTAACATGAACTGTAAGACTGAAATACTGGTGTAATAATGGTGCGACATGTTTTTCCTTCGTTGTGAAGAATTTTCAGACATACTGTTTTCATGTTAAACAATTGCTATAAAACTTAAATTTTATTGTGAATAACTCGATCTGTTTCAGTTCTTATTTGCATTTGCAAGGTCTCAAAAAATAATATTCTGAAGTCAAATTCAGTTGTACATGTAATTTTTTTGTAATATAACAATACATGAATATGTTTGCAGTTAATCTGCTATAAAAGTTCGCAGTTTATCTGCCCTCAAAATTATTTTTTATATTTTTTTTCTCTTGACTTTTGATTAGGAATTTCACAGGTGGATTGTTTAGATGTTTAGACAAAACTTAAATTAAAAAGTATGTGGAATAAGTAAAAAATATTTGGAAATTAAGTATATTTTGCCACTTTCAGAGATATTTTCGCAGATGAAATAAAATAATATGATATTAATTGTAATTTTCTTCATTATTTCAATGACCATGTATATTTGTAGAAGTCAAAAATAGATTTTATCTGTTCTGTTTAGATAATAACAGTATTTCTTTTTGTCAATGCACCACTTACATAGAGAATGTTGACAAATTAATGAAATGTATATAATGGTATGTGGTTAACATACATTGTAGATCAATTTAAGCAAATGCCTCTAGATTAATGCTTATTTTCTTGAACATTTTGAAAATATATCTAAAAATGAACTATTTTGAAGTGAACAAAGAAAGAAATTTAAAAAAATTGAAAACAGCATTTACAATCCATGAAAATTGCCAAAAAGAGGTCAAAATATACAAAAATAGTTCTTACTACGTAATGCATGTAATAGAAATGTGGTGATAAATACTGCAAAGTCGGTCATTAATGGCACATAGCATGTAAATTATTTCTTGAATTCTTAATCTTTTATTCTTTTCTTAAAATCTTAGAACATTTTTAGTTTGATTTTCTTCAAATATAGTGGCTTATCTGGAGGCATACAGCTTTAAGACTATTTGTCAAGGGATATCATTTTTAGGAAAGATTGTAATACTATTTTAAAATGCGAGATATGTATACATATATTATTATTTTTCACATGTTAAGTTACACTACATACACATAGACTTGTTTTTGTTTCTATTGTATAAAAAATGTTTTTTTATTATATGGTAGGAGACATTTTATTGACGATGTATATTCAGTGTATGTTCCTAGTTGTTTGTTTTGTTGTTTTTGAAATGTTCTAGAACCCTGTGATGTCACTACTGTTGAAAATATAAGTATAAATATATATTTCTTCGTATATTTATTCATATTAATTTATTTAAAAAAAAATTGAACAGTTATTCAATAAAAATTGAAAATTTGAAGACTTTTTCATTTCTTTGAGGTACCCATGGTGTTGTTTTTACTGGTAGTTTTCTTTATGATTTCAAACTCTGACATGCATACTAGTATAATGTAAATAATAAATTGATCTCTAAATTTCTACGGCTTATTTCCCTTGTTTCAAGTCCTATGAACCTCTCAGTCCTGTGATATGCAATGTTAGAAGTCTTGATAAAAGGAGCTCCACTGATGTCTAAAAGCCTATGAACATAGAATTTGATATTATAACATAGATTAACTAGGGCACTTAACTCATAACTTCATATCCCCCTTTTTGAAGCCTCAAATAGTGAAAAAATGCCCTATTTAGACCCTAAACACTTGTTTTCGTTAGAGAAATGGTGCAAAAAAAGTGATCACTTTTCCGGCGCCATCCCCTATCAAATAGATAAAATCAAAGGGGTGCCAGATGGGGGATGTGCGCCCTTCTGTTTCGGGGGTTGAAGGGGCTCGACAGACCCTCCCATCTTCAAGAAAATTTTGGACTTGTTTTGGAGTCTAAAGATGGCCCCAGGTCGACCTTAAGGTAACATATAACCATCGTGGAAAAGCCTTTGACGCTTTCTCAATCCATTGAGAAGTTGTTGCACTTTGTAATCATTTTTCATGGAAAAAAATCAAGGCAAAATAGTGATTTTGAGATGTCCCCTCGTTGCCATGGCAACAGGAAATTTAAGATGCGGGGTCAAAGCCTATGGCCCAGTCAACATTTGTGCCAAGTTTGATTAGTATTGACACCTTTTTATAATTTCATAATAATTTGCATGAACTTGTAACAGGAGGCTTTTCAATGAAAATAGCCATTTTTCACAAAATGCCCATGAAGTAATAGACTAAAACAGAAGATATATAAAAGTCAACAAGAAATACACTAAACTCATTTTGTGCAATTCTTAGCCTGCAAAAGTCATTCTAACGTTTAACATTCTTGGTCATTATGCACAATAAAATGATTATTGTAGGAAATAGGATTGAGCAGATGTGGCACATAAGTCATTGGTCCGGAACTTCATCAAATGATGCAAATACCTCGAAAATATATCTCCAAAAATGTTGTCAGAAAACCTCAGTGGAGTCCCTGTGAGTTGGTCTTAGAGCAACAGAAAATGACAGTTTTAAGTTGAAGCAGGGACAACAATTCCCTTGATGAATAATGAAATGTCCCTGCTTCTCTATCCTACCCAATAAAAATCAATTATTTTCTAAAACAGTTTTGTTTGGCCGATTGTTTTCTCCTCCTTTTTTAAAAAATCTAAAATATAGTACAATGAATAAAACAATAATGTAAAAGCATTTTGAAATTAATTTGTCACCTTGCCATTTAAACATATTCTTATATAGTCATAAAGCAGTAAGCTCTTCCAACGTTTTACTTTTATATTTTAAAATGACAAGGTAATCCAATTTGGCATCCATTGGCAATGAGCATAAATATACAAAAACTAAGATTTGAGACAATCGAAAAATAATCGAGATTAGAAGAAAAATATCCTTAAAATACGACATTCGATCTTGTAAAAAGACACTTATTTTATGAAACGGCAATATTTTATTCAGTGCCATGGAATATTTAAAACAGTTTATGTACTACATGTATCTAGGTTTTAAAGAAATCTGTACGATGTTACTCTTTATAAACAAATTTGTCCAAATGGCACGGTAGTCTCCACATTCTTCTGTCTTGTCACAAAAATCAAATACATTCATTGGTGCGTAGTACCACAGCAATAACACTCAGTTCCTTGAAGTATTAACACAAAAACAGTCCTATTTGATAGATTTTGAATTGTTTAAAATGTAATTTGCAAGAAATAGTGTATACCTTTTCCAGTATAAGTCAATCTTCTCAATAACACGTTTAAAACCAATTTTTATTTAAAAAACAACAACTTTTTCTGTTCGAAAAAAAAAATCATGTCTCGCTTGCAATTCGTAATCGCATTTTCTCGGCCCTTTCCTACAAGTTTTCATTGCAATTGAAGAAAATGAATATAGATTTTTTGAAAGTTAATTTTGCACATTTTTTATATTCAAATATGTTCCCATCTTAACATAATAAACATATAGATAAATAAATGTAAAACAAATTCTGAAGAAAATTTTAAGTTAAATTGTCGTTAAATACTAAATGTGCCGCACATAAAATTATATTAATGAGGAAAACACTTTTATATAATATAATTGGGAAAAGCACTTTTACAATACGCATTTATGTCATAATATAAAAGCCAGAGAAGCTCTGATTCCTTGTTTTGTGCCCGACTCACCGGTAACCAATAATACATAATAAGCTTAAAAGAAGTCTATAAAACCCAAATTATCGACCAAAGAATGGAGTCAAAGAAACACCGTGGACCTAAAACAAGGATTGTTAAAAAATCTTCATATGGGTAAGTCGATCAATTTTATGAGTCTTGTTGATTTTAATTACATGTACATTAAATATATTTGCATTCCTTTATGTGACTCTCACTATGTAAATTGTTGAATACTCTACATGTTCTGCAGTAAAAAAAAAAAGTGTATACTTCGGGGTTTATGTGTAACTATTAATATTTAAAATTTATCTTAGCTTCTAATTTGGCTCGATTATTTCATAGAGATATTGATAAAACTCGCGATCTTGCCCTGGTTTTAGTTGACACATACCCGCAGACTAATAACGATTATTCTATTATTCATAGGCCTATAACACAATCTATATTCAATCGCAATAGAGTTTAATATTTTCCGAAAATGCAATTTCAATTACGTGATATAAATGGTATTGACATAAAGGTAGACCGATATCAAATAAAATACATTCATATATTCTTTCGCATTATTGAAGATAAGCATTTTTTAAAAATTGGTTTAAGAGATCTGATGTCAGTAAGGAAACTTCTTCAATCGACTCGTATAATAATCTGCTGAGAATGCCTGTTTGTGTTTGTAATACATTGTGGACATTGACATGTATTGTAGCAGTAACTGTGTTGTATCATTTTACAACAATATTTGTTTGGACAGTAACAACTGGATTAGTTGTGCTAATCTTATTTCTCGTAATAAGTGAAGATAACCATGGTAGCGATTGTTTAAAAGCTGGAATATTTGGATCATTGCTGGCTGTTGTTTTTGTGGTTGTGTTACCCATGTTGGCAAAGGGTTTACACTATGGATACACTTCCACAACATGTTACTTCAATGAATGTTGCGACGACAATTGGATCTCTCCAAATATAAGTGGTAACACTTTGTAAATATAATAATAATAATAATAATAATAATAATAATAATAATAATAATAATAATGAAAATAAAATAATGATAATAATAAAGACTTTATTTAACGACAGAACTCATTTAAATATCATATATCTATATGCTCTAACTATATTGAAGGGACCGTTAAATTGTAAAGTTTAAATAGTTAACAAAATTATTCAATACTATATATTCAGCATTATAGTTTTCATTTAGACTATAAGCAAAGTATTCAAAAATATACATTTATTTTCTTATTTCGAAAAGCTTTATACAATGGGAACTACCATTTTAAATGATGTAACAATGCGTTTCTTTTAGGCCTTTCCTTCCAACTTAACAAAAAATTGTACGGTCAACACCTAGTGATTGGTCCTTTGGTGAAACATCTTAGAGGTCATGTTGAAGGGCAACATCAAAAAGCAACAATACTTTCTTTACATGGTCTGCCTGGAACGGGGAAAAACTTCGTGAGTCGCATGGTGGCAGAAAACATGTATGTCAAGGGAATGGAGAGCAAATACGTTCATCTCCTTTCAGCAACGAAAGATTTTCCTCATGAAAGTATGCTAGAAGAATACAAGGTATGTTTAAAAGAAATGCTTAAAGTTCTAGTACTTAACATTTTAAAGCTTTTACAAATTTAAACAACTTTAACATTGATAAAAAAGAAAATGTACGAGATAAAGAACAGATTCAGGTGCAAATATTTGTATCTCCATGTAGTTACATAACTACTTGATCAGTTCGATAATAATCCAAGATCAATTCGTAAATTCCTTTGTCACACAGGAAACCCTGAAAATGAAGATAGAAACAGCTGGTAAAGAATGTTCAAGGTCACTCTTTATCATTGATGAAATGGATAAATTACTTCCTGGTTTGATTGACACTATCCGCCCTTACGTTGACTACTACGACCACGTGGAAGGAACATACTTTAAGAAACTCCTATTTCTCTTCTTAAGGTAAAATGCTTTCCTGTTCATGAATCCATTTATATCATTAAATTGAAGAGAGTCACTTGTAAAAACAAATAGCAGTATTTTCGTTACGTGTAGTATTTCACGAGAAGAGAATGTTTCTAAAATGAACTTCATGACGAGTAGGAGCTTGAAGATCATATCCCAGGAAGGAACTTCCTGTACTGTATTTATTAGTTCAATGTTTGCGGGGTTTATATCATCATGTAGCCAGTTACATACTACAACATGTAAGAACGTCAAATAGCAGTGTAGTTCATTTCCTGCAATTTCTTAATCAGACAGTACAGTATATTAGTCAGTAGTGATACAACGGAAAACGTTTTATAATAGCGAGCTCGAAGAAAAGATCCGAAGGGCCTGCTCGCAAGCGACATTTACGGTAATGCGAGTACTTGCTAGATAATGTTGGCTTTTAAAACTTTCGCCGGAAGTACTGAATAATCATGGGTAATTGACCAATCGAATTTATTCGAATTACAAGGTTACTATAAAAGTCGAGGATTTTTTATTGAAAACGGATGTGTAGACTGGTCTCCTGCGTACTTCTTTTGAAACAATAATTGGAAAGGAAACCAGAATAAACGAAAGCAGTGCATAACATGCCGAATATTTTAAAACGAAAAATGTAATTTATCGTGTTGAGTGAATTGTTTGGCCGATAGTGTGCAGTTCTTACTGTATTTAAGACCTAAAATGTGTAGCCGCCGATGACTTTAAATTAAAATGTACTATAATTTCTGTCAAAAGCTCGCTTTGAGGTTCTGCTTTATTCATGTTAGAAGCCTTAATTACATAAATACTTTTTTCAGTAACACGGGCGGAGACAGTCTTGCTAAACATGCTCAAGAAAATCATGCTCGTGGAAACAGTAGAAAAGAACTGAGACTAAAGGAAATGGAAGAAATTGTACGGACGTCATTGTTAAATGAACCAAGTAAGTTGATTAAACATTGTGTTTAAATAATTATAGAACTAGCATGTGGTTCATACCCTTGTTATAATGGATTAAGGACATGTAAGGTGCAAAATCAAAATCAAATTAAGAATAAACACTGAAAGTGAAATAAAGTTAGCACAATATCAACAAAGTATAACAATGCTAATTGCCCAACACGCAAACATAGGAAAAGATGACATTTTTTGTTGTGATTTTACTTTCCGAGGGAACTGTATGGCTGAGGAGTATTTTTTGGAAACTGTATCAGAACACAAAAATAAAAATGAAAATAACGTCAGTTTAAGACTTAATGGGCTTTTAAACGCTATGCGTTATTTATAATCAAAGACTAAAGTGTCACTCACTAGTACTTTTATTTGTCATTTCTTAGAGACTTAGAATAAATGCATGCATAAAATCTCTAATCTCTATAAATCTCTCTTTCTCATACAGATGGTATGGTGAACAGTAGCATCGTCAAGAATAGCCTTATTACCGCTTATATCCCATTTCTACCATTGGAAAGGAAACATGTGGAAAAATGCATTGTAAACGGACTATTTGCAAGAGGATTTTATGCGTATGAATACCAAGTAGATTATGAATTAGTGAAATCAATTGCAGAGGAAATGTTGTACTTTCCAGAATTTAATAAGTTATTTTCAACAACTGGTTGCAAACGTGTTATGGAGAAAATTGATTTGATTATGTTGGAAGAGGCATAAGATTGGACATTTTCATGTGACTGTTTTGTTAGATGTGACATTCATTTAGTTTAAACATATCATTTTTTTATTTCTCAGAATATATATATTCTCTTGTAATTCTTTTAAAATGGCTTTCCATGTATCTTCTGTTTGTGTTTTATGTTTGATATATAATGTTAAGTATACATGTAAAGATGAGACTGACATAAATAAAGAAACTCACAACAGGTGACATGTTCAGTTACCAAGTAATGGTCACATGCATTCTATCTTACAGGTGTGAAAACACAGTGTGTGTTAATTTCTTTTTGGCAATTAAATTATAGCTCTTTCATCATAATTGTGTCTTTCCCTGTACATAAATGTTATAATTTGTTGTTTTTTATATAAAATGTTGAAAAGAATTGGAATTTTTTGTTAAATGATTCCTGTTTTGGTTAACATTTTGATCTTGAAGTTAACTTTATCTATACAATAATGTTATGTAAAAAGATATAGGTCCAGTACTTTCATAATTATTTCAAAAGACAATTAAAAATTATCTTTCAGCCAAAGGTTGTCTTATTTTCTAATTTTCTGAATTATATTTATGAATTTGCATAATAAAGTTACTCAAGACATTTATTGCAAAAAGAAATTAAAATATGACTTAGACAAAAGCGTTGAAAAGTAAAAAAAATTATTTAAACAAAGTCAATGTATAAACACATAATAATTATCAATAAAAATATAAAACATCTGAAAACCGGAATCGTCTGAAAACAGGACGTTTGGTCAAGTCCGGACAGGGTCTGGATTTCAGAGTTTTTACTGAACCTTGTAGTCTTAAGTCAGTATATTATTTCTATGTTAGTAACATTCATTCATCTTATATTCATTTCAAATTATGTAAAATAGTTTGGGCCCTATAAGCGAACCATTGCACACATCTTTCGTCACAAACTATGCATAACTTTGCTCATTTGACCGTAAATAAGAATATTTACATAATTTATCACTAAAAAAGTTATTTCTACTGTCTTATTTTTATTGAGTATAGAAATTAATTGCACACTTCTGCAAACAATGACACATATTCTTCATTGTACGTAGTTTCATCTTTACATATAAAACATAGATAAATATATAGAGGGACCAATGTATAGCCATATTATACACGTCATGTCGCAAGTCTTTTAAGAGGCTTAAGATGACGAGTTGGTGAGTTTGTTTGTACCAACATGCTATTATGTGCGTGAGGCATTTAAATTCGTAATGAAATAACTTAAATATTTCGAGTGAAAATTGAAAGAGTAGAGCTGAGAAAAAGAAATGTTGAAGACAATGATAATGTTCTTCATTGACATATAATACGCATAAGAAAATATTTTTAGGGACCTAAATGATCGCGCAATACTACATTTTACTTGTGAATACAATTACTTATTGTTACACTTAATCATTCAAGCTTTTCTGTTTGTATTATCGTCATACAGATCATTTTAAGCATATTTTCCTTGATCATATATCATGTAAATCTATGGTGAAATAAAAGAAAATAACAAAGAAAAAAGAACATGTTGAAAAAGGGAAATAATTTAAAGTCAGTCTTGATTATAGTAGAGACACCTAGCTATGTTTTGTTTTTCTAATAGTAAAATCTTTTGAACTATTTAAACAATGTGCACGTGCATTTTCTCTTTTATTCAGTACATGTACCTGATGTTATTTTCACAACTATAGACAATAATAGTACAATTAAATGACATTTCATCGCTTAGATAGCCCCTAAATCCCTGGTTAAAGCACACATATATATTTTATATAAGTCACTGGCGACCCTTCAGCCAAAGACCTGAACTCAGAGTATACTCAATTTAAGCTGAGGTACGCACCCGGGTAAGTCAATTATCTGGGTCGGTTTGATTTATGATATATTAATGAATACACTACATGTTCTGCAGTAAACAAAGGCATATATTTCGGGGTTTATGTGTAACTTTTAATATGTAAAATTTATTTACGCTTCTAAAGTGGCTCAACCATTTCATAGAGATATTTATATAACTATTGCCCCAGTTTTAATTGACAAATACCAACATACATGTACTAATAACGATTTTTGTTTACTTCATAGGCCTACAACACAATCAATATTCAACCGACATAGAGTTTAACATTTATCAATATTCAACCGACATAGAGTTTAACATTTTTCGAATGTACAATTTTAGTTAGAATGTCAATTTTATGAAGGGAAATTACAAAAAAGGTAGCCCGGGATATCAAAAAAAAAATTTAATTAAATTCCAAATTATTAATGATTAGCTTTTTTCAAAAAAAAATTTGGGTTTAAGAAAATCAAATTTGGTCGTAAGGAAATTTTTTAAATCGATTGAAAAAAAAATTTTGAGAATCCGTTTTTTTTTGTAATAAAAATTTGGGGAACATTGACATTATTGAAAACATTAATTTTTTTTATAAATTTTAAAACCCAAATATTTTTGGACATAAAAAGGGAAAATTTTAGTGTTTTCTTTTTTACTCGCAAAGGTATAACAGTATCCCCAGAAGCCCCCAGTTTTTTTAAATGAGGAAATTTTTGTGTTTTGGGTGTTTTTGTTAGGGCCCAGTAGAGCCATTTTGGAAACGGTTTTTCAATAGGGGATGTATTTTCAAAATACCCTTATTTTTTTTGACGGAACATCATTTTCCTTATACCATTTTCATTTTTGAAAGGAAGAGTCAAAATTTTAATATCTGTTAGTTTACAAAAAGTAAAACTTTAATTTTCAAAAAACTAAATTTTTCCCCAGTTTTTTTTAACTTAAGATTTTGGACAAAGTATTAAAAATTGTACATTTAATTTTCAAATTTTTAAAATAATTTTCCCAAGAGAATTTTTTGTTTTAAAATGTTTTTTTAAAATCGTTTTTTTGGGCCTTTTAAATTTCCCCTTTTAAACCAAAAATTTTTACGGACAGCACTATGTTTGGCCCTTTTGGGGAACCCCCCATATAAAAGGGAGGTCATTTAAAAGGTCAATTTTAAAAAGGGGCAATCTTCTTTAAATGACGGGTTTTGGGAAAAGGGAAACAACTTTTTTGAGTTCCCTTTCGAGGCAGAAAAAAGGTTTTGTCACAAAGGGGAAAGAAAAAATTTTATCTTCGTCAGTTTACGAAAAGTTTTCCTGAAAGTTTTGCAAGAAAAATTACAAGGTTTTTTTAAAAAAGATGTTAAATCCTAGACCTTAACATTTTAAATTTTTTTAAAAAAAAATTTAACCCACTTTTAAAATTGATAAAAAAAAAAATTGAAGAAAAAAAATAAAAAGTTTTGGGTGAAAATTTTTGTATCTCCATGAAAAATCTGAGTTACATAACTACTTCATCACTTTGCTTTGATAATGATCCTAGATCAATTCTTAAATTCTTTAGTTACACCTTTTTGACAGGAGACGCTGAAATAGAAACTTGATTACTTCGATAGTTATCCAAGATTAATTCGTAAATTCCTTTGTCACACAGGAGACGCTGAAAATGAAGATAGGAACACTGGTAAAGAATGTTCAAGGTCACTCTTTATCATTGATGAAATGGATAAATTACTTCCTGGTTTGATTAACACTATCGCCTTTAAGTTGACTACAACGACCATGTGGAAGAAAGTATAAGAAGCTACTTTTTCTCTTCTCAAGGTAATCTGCTTTCCCGTTCATGAATCCATTTATATCATTAAATTGAAGAGAGTCACTTGTAAAAGTAAATAGCAGTATTCTCGTTAAGTGTAGTATTTCCTGAAAAATTTGAATGTTGCAAAAACGAATTTCCCTTTGAAATTAAAATGAGAGGACTCGGACAAAAAATCCCATGTGGGAAGAATTACTGCACGGCATTTTATCCAAAAATTTTTTATCGTCTGCAGTTAATACTAAAGCATGTAAGAAATTTTATATAGAATTAAGATTTTCCTTCAATTCGAAATAAAGTACCCGTTACAAGGGAAAAACTTTTATCATAGAAAAAATCCCTTAAGCAAAAATATTTTTTTTTCCGGGAACCAGGGAACCTGAGATACCTAGCTAAAATTTGTAAAAAAATTTTATCTGAAATGACAGAAAAATTTGAGACAAAAGGATAAGGAAGAAATGGTAGGGACTCATCTTTAAATAAACCCAAAGGTAAGTTGGGTTTATACATTTTTTTTAAAAATTTAAAGAATTTAAAACATGGATTCTTTCCCCTTGTCATATTTAAAATTTTAAACATGAAGGGATTTAAATCAAATTACGAATAAGCACTTAATGTGAACAAATTGTAATAAAGGTAGCAAAATATTAACAAAGAAAATTATTGGCTTCCACACAAAATACTTATTTACTATTATTTTCATATATAACGGTACTACTTGCTTAAACGACGCAAAAACAGCAAAAGAGGGATCACTCTTTTTCCAGATTTTCTTTAGCTATATTGACGAGGAGTAATATTTTGGAAACTGCATAGACTCGAATATAAAACGCTTTTGAAAACAAAATGAAAATAACGTCAGTTTAAGACTTAATGGACTTTTAAGCACTGCGAGTTTTTCATAATCGAAGACAAAAAGTCACTTACTAGTATTTCATATGTTCTTTTATTTGCGATTCCTTAGGGACTATGGAATACATGCATACATAAACAATTAATCTCTAATGACATTATTTTGTCCTTTTCATACAGATGGTATGGTAAACAGTAGCATCGTCAAGAATAGCCTTATTACCGCTTATATCCCATTCCTGCCATTGGAAAGGAAACATGTGGAAAAATGCATTGTAGACGGACTATTTGCAAGAGGATTTTATGCGTATGAATACCAAGATAATAAATTAGTGAAATCAATTGCAGAGGAAATGTTGTACTTTCCTGAATTTAATAAGTTATTTTCAACAACTGGTTGCAAACGTGTTATGGAGAAAATTGATTTATATTGGAAGAGGATAAAATTTGACATTTTCGTGCGATTGTTTCGTTAGATTTGACATGCATTTATTTTAAAGATCCTGGATGTTGTGATCAAAGTGGTAAACCATACAAAGTGAAATTATATAGATGTACATAATTATGCAAATAAAACAATTTTCAAACATGGAGTAATATGTAAAATATGTACTGCAAATAATTTTGCATATTATATGTAATCATTAAAATATATGCATTCATTTCGTATTGCAAAATTTGACTTAAACTTTATATAGAAAATAAAGTTTTTATTACCTCCCTTTATTTACATGAAATGTTAAATTCGGTAACATCTTTATAAATAATGCCTTTTGGAACCTACGATATTGATAAATCTTAATTTCAGCATCATATTTATGATTTAAAACCATAAAAAATTGTATTATAGGATCTTTAAACAAATTTTATTTCTCAGAATATATACGATATACATGTTTCAATTTGCAATATACACAAAGCATTTCAAATAATCGTACAAAATAGGATTATAATAGAAGACCAAGTGTCTTGCCATATTCTTCTCCATATTGAGTAGTTACATAAATGGGCCTTTAAAATTCATAAAAATTAAATAACTGGGAAAAATTTAAAAAATAAAAAACGAATCAGTTTTTATATTGGTATTTTTGTAAATATACATTTTTAATCACCGTAAAAAAAATTATGGCCTTATATTTTAATCTTTCTTTATATTTTTCGTTTGGTATTTTTTAAATTTGGAAATTTATTTAAACATTTTTACCCAAATAATAGTTACATCCAAAAGAAGGCATCATAATGTAAAAAAACCCAAAAATATTGCAAAAATTTAAAAAAAATTTAAAATGTATCTGATTTTCCTGGGGTTAAAGAAACAAAAAAGCAAAATAGGGCCTTTGGGGTATTTTTTATACAATTTTTTAAAAATTTATTAAAACCAGCACGACAATTTTTTCTCTATTTAAAAATAAATTTCCCTTGGGGGTTTGCATGGTTTTAAAAGGATTTACCATTGTCACCTATTTGATCTTGAGGAACCAATCTTTTAAAAAATTTAAAAATGTTGATTGACTTGATCTAGATTTTCCCCTTTCGCAAAAACTTTACAATTTCCAAAGACCCATATTTAGACCTACGTTTTACATGAGGGCAAAGGTTTAAGAAATTTCAAATAATGACTTTAAAATTTAAACAAGTTTTTCTTATTGTCCTGGTTTGTACCAACCAGCAAACAATTTTTTTTGATAATTATTTCGGCGTTTTCTTTTCAAATATATACTAAATCCCATCAACAAATTATTTATGGTTATTACAGACCTTCCCTAATTAACTTTTATCTAAAACTTTAAACAAATGACATTAATGTTTATAAACCGCCATCCGTTTTGTGTGTTAGAGTCGTGACTTCTGATCTAGTTACCCTCTGCTTGGTTCATCCCCGGGGAATGCTTTGGTAGTTGCGCGCGGAGGAAGGTAGTCAAGTACTGGTGTAACTCTCCAGGAACGATGGTTAGGAAACTACCCGCCTATATGACTGAGATACTGTTGGAAAAAGCGTAAAATGACACAAACAAACAAACAAACATTAATGTTTATAGAATTTGTGCTATCAATAGCGTTTACTTGCATTCATATCATTTTGAACAGTCAAGATATTTTACAATTATTTTCTAAAAAAGTTCTGAATTGCAAAGTAGATGTATTCGTAAATGAATGTAAAATTGCCATTATTTGTTAAAAAGATGAATTCTTTCGTTCCGATATTTCGAACGTGTCGAACGTGTAACCAATATCAGAGGGCAGTGATGACCTTTTTTTTTGCTCACAAGAAACAAATTGGTCATTTCTTTTAATTAAAATGAAAGGAAAACTGTGACTTCTAAATAATTGCAGGAGTTTACATATATTCGATATTTTGACCATATTCGGATTCAAGGTAAGCAAAATATCTTGTCAAAATTATAGTGAGACAAAATTCGAACAAATAAAGAAAAGCGTGATTTAGCATTTTTCTCACAAACTTTTGTCTTAAGAATACTCATGTGTGAACCTGGTCAATATTTCACGGAAAAAAAGTATGTTTGATGAAGATCTAAAAACTTCTTCGAGAATATACTTTGAAAAAGCACTATGCTCTTGTGTAATGCAGTGATGTATAGTTAGAGACAAAACCTCTATGGAAGCTTTTTATCTTGATTCTTAAATAATATGGATCAGAACAGAAACTTTGTTCAAAGTACATTACCATACCTATTTCAAACATAGGTCACATTAAGTTACTACTTGTATTGACCAATACAAATCAGCATTGATATCATCTATGACTGGTGCAAAGGAAACTCTATCTTACCAAATCTACAGACGACAAAAGCAATGATTTTTCCACTGAAGTATTTTTTAACAATTCACAAAATTTAAAGGCAAGGGGACGTTTTTTTGAAAATGAAACAAAGGGAACAGGGAAATTTTTTTTAAACAAAAACTGCCCAAAAGCCCTGTAAAATTCAAAAAATCAGGGAAATTTTCCAAATAAAATTTGTTTGAAAAATGATTCCAAAAAAAACCAAAAATTTACTCCAAACGAAATAAAACCAAAAATCGAAATAAACAAAGGGACAAAGTTTAATTAATACATAAAATATTTTCCTAAAATAATGTTTTGACAAATTTGTGGAAAATTTTAAAAAAAATGAAATACAAAACAAAAGACAATTTAAATAAAAAAAATGTGTGCTTTCCCGTATAAATTCTAGGCAAAATATAATTTGAACACCTTTTCAAAATATAAAGTTTCAATGATTGAATTGGCTGTAAAGATATGACTGTATTCACTTTAAAAAGGTAAATCCCTCAACAATGTTATGTCAGATTATATGTCAGATTATATGTCAGAATTATTTTCCTATAATAGCCACACCATACGCTCTAAGATCATTCATCCCACAGACACCTTAAATACCCAAACCTAGATAAGAATTTCACAGAAAAGCCCTTGCACTTTTTTGGGCCTAAAATGACACATACATCCGGCCGACCGACAGTTTTACTTATACTTATTCTGATTGCTCCCTGGTGGATACCTCGATTTATATGCTTAGTAGATATTTTATAAACATAGTATATATTGGTTGAATATATTTGTTTTGTGTATATATTTTGTTTTTAATGTTTATCTCTTTGATACCAGTGTTGGATGTATGCATTTATTAGTAATTTCTTTCCCTTTAGTCTTGTTTTAAAAGTTTTCCGTTTTAAAAAATTAAAGTCTACAACCCACTCACTAAACTCACTCAATTAAAAAGGAGAAAAATTTATTTATTTATGAAAAATTTTGAATTTTTTAAAATTTGATTTTACCTAAAACATTTTTTTAATCATTTCTTTCGATGAGTAAAGGGTATTGACAACGTGTTTATAGAAAATTAAACGTTTTAAAATTTTTTGAATTAAAATACTGAATTATGTTTTTGGTCAAATTTTTTAAATAAAAATTAAATGTGTTTTTTACGAATACAAATACCACTTTTGAATAGTTTTCCCAATTGGGTAGAATTTAAATAAAAACTGATTTTAAAAAAACGGGAAAAAACAAAAAATTGAAAAAAAATTCAAAAAAAAAATAAAAAAAATTTAGTCAAAAGAATTTTGGTGTTTACTGATAGATGAACGAGAAAGAACGCTACATAAATTGGAAAGACTCATTTTTAACATGAATGCTGAATTCATTTTGTAATCTAAGTAAAAATGTTTCACTCATCAATTCCGTTTTCATTCAGCTTTTGTTACTTGTGTTTTTAGTCCTAGACCAAGTTTATTTTGGTAATGAAATGATAAAAAGAATTATAGTAGATACATTGGTACAAAATTAATTTTCATAAAATACCAAATAAATGAAGAAAAAGAGAAATATTCGACTGTTTTTGCGTCACAGTTCGAAATAACCACTTTGAAAATTTCCTTTGATTTTTAATTTTCATACGTTTTGTAAAACCAATTATTAACGAGAATCTTTCGTTTTATTTGACAATAAAATCTTGAAAAATGTCCAAGATATAACTTTTTATGTACATAGTTCCATGTGTTGTTTATCGTTAAACGTATTAAAGAACGTCTTAAGGTTTTTGAAAGACATAAGAATATATTTCGTAAAAACAAATAGACAGTAAGTTCAAGTCAATTTATTTTCAGTTCTATGATATAACAATCTTAAAAATCATGATAAATACAAAACGCAAATGCAGAAGAAATCATTTTAAAATGATGGGCACAAACGCGCGTAGTATAATGTTAACTGGTGCACTAATGATACGTGCGTGAAATATAGTAACTTAACTAATAAATATCTGCATCATTCTTATATCAATTAAAATATAACATACCAATATGAAATCTCATAAGGAGATAACACACAGTCAAAGATCATACAATCATGTGTATCGTAAATTGAATGTTTCTCTTCCCGAGGCGTAACATCACGGTATGCCTGACGTTCAAAAGGTCGTACGTTATTTAAATTTTTTGGTTTCCCTTCACGGCAAAACCCAACCCAAAGAAATTACAAACAAGGAGAATGTTCCGGTACTGGTTTCCTTTTCAGGATTTTTGACCACCTCCCCTCTCTAATTTAGGTGAGCGCTTTTTGAATTTTTTAAAAATTTTTTTCGTAAAAAGGGAAAAAGGTATACCACTGTAACCCCCTTAAATGGAAACTTTAAAGGGGCCGGGAAATGCCCTTCCCCATTTCCATACCTTAAAAATATTTTGCCCCATTTTTGATAAATGTTACTCAAAATTACTTGATTTTTAAAGCATGACAAGCAATTAAAGTTATACGCTTTTCCCAGTATTATGGCGGGCGCTCAGCCAAAAGCCAAATCAAGCTTTTTTTTTAATGTTTTAGGTTAAAATCTTTTCAAAATTTACAAACTTGCTTGAATGGGAAGTAACTTATAGAAATTGAAATACTTGTATAGAATACCGAGTACAATTCCGACATCCGTCTTTGTGAAAGAGCATGGGACGATTATATAACTTGCAGCAGACTTGTTTTCAATGGTTGCCACCTGTGAAAATAAAGCAGCGAAATACTCACAATCCGTGCGTCTAAATAGATTTTAGATGTGTCATAACCGTCCATCCATAAGACACCTGAAATCGAATAAAAGCTATATCCACGGTATGTTATCGTTCCGGGCTGATTTGAATATTTCCCCGTTCACGATCTGATATGGATTGATGGCATCGGATTGATTAAGATAAAATAGATTTTTAGCTTGACGACGTTAGTTTCCGAATACAGGTATTCTATTTATTCTTCCAAATCAGCCCGGAACTATTACATACTGTCATATCGATGGCTCCTTATTTATAGTTCACGTTGGTGTGTTTTACTTAAATGAAAATTTAACGACTGCATGTACGTGTGTTCCCCTTATTTGTATAGGAATGTAGCGATTGCAAATGAAATTTTTCTCCTCATTTGTACAGGAATATAACGATTGCAAGTAGAATTATTCCCCTTATTTGAATAGGAACGTACCAATTGCAAGTAGATTTGTTCTACAGTGATCACTTAATTTGACAGTTAATTTTGAACTAATTGCCGGTTTGTCTGTTCTAAACATTGTTCTATATCATGCATGAAACACGCTCGCTGGCATTCATGTACGTTTATTCACATGTTTGAAAGCATACAAAAAAGCAACTGCTCAATTAGTGCAGATCAGAATCATTTTGGTGTGCTCTGTTTTTAACGTACGTAATTAGAAAATTAATAATATACGGATATAAAACATAATCTAGTTAAAAACAGAGATCAGTTAAAAGAGATCTGATTTTAGTAAGGAAACTTCTTGAACATCTCTAATCAACTCATTTAGTCTTGTCAATATGCCCGTTAGTGTTTGTTATATATTGTGGACATTGACATGTATTGTAACGTAATTGTGTTGTATCATTTTACAACAATATTTGTTTGGACAGTAACAACTTGATTAGTGATAATCTTGTTTTTGATAATTATAAGTGATAACAGACACAGTGACGCTCGTTTAAAAGTTTGGATATTTGGGTCATGACTGATAACTTCGTGTATTATCTTCTTCTTAGATAATAATAGGCCTACAACACAATCAAATTCAATCGACATAAAGTTTTTCGAAATACAATTTTAGTTACGTGAACCATGAACGGAATTGATAGAAAGGTAGTTAAAAAATACACTCGTTCGCATTGTTTAACTTCTTCAATCGACTCATATAATCATCTGCTTAGAATGCCTGTTTGTGTTTGTTATACATTGTTCACATTGACATGTATTGTAGCAGTAATTTTGTTGTTTCATTTTACAACAATATTTGTTTGGACAGTAACAACTGGATTAGTTGTACTAATCTTATTTGTCCTATTTAGTCAAAATATTAACCATGATAAAGATTGTTTATTCGCTGTAATTTTTGGATCATTGCTGATTGTTGTTTTTGTGGTTGTGGTAGCCATGTTGGCAAAGGGTTTACAATATGGATACACTTTCACAACATGTTACTTCAATGAATGTTGCGACGACAACTGGATCTCTCCCAATATCAGTGGTAACACTTTGTTAATATAATAATAATAATAATAATAATAATAATAATAATAATAATAAATATTTTATTTAATGAATAAACACATTTGACCAGCATCATGTCTTTATACCGTATCTTTATAGCAGAGACCGTTTCATTGTTATTATAAGTTAGGAAAGTTAACAATTTATATTATTCAAAATTATACATTCAGCAATGTATTTTTCATTTAGACTAGAAGTTAAATACAATTGAACGTCTTATTTTGAAAGCATTATATACATTGGGAAAAACTATTTTAAAATGATATTCAAAGCGTTTCTTTTAGTCCTTTCATTCCAACTAAACAAAAAGTTGTACGGTCAACACCTAGTGATTGGTCCTTTGGTGAAACATCTAAGAAGTCACGTTGAAGTTCAACATAAACAAGCAACAGTGCTTTCACTAAATGGTTTGCCTGGAACCGGGAAAAACGTCGTGAGTCGCATGGTGGCAGATAACATGTATGTCAAGGGTATGGAGAGCAAATACGTTCATCTTCTTTCAGCAACGAAAGATTTTCCTCATGAAAGTATGCTAGAACAATACAAGGTATGTTTAAAAGAGATGCTTTAAATTCTAGTAGTTAAACTTTAACAGTTCAAAGCTTTTACAGATTTAACCAACTGAACCTTTATTTTTCTATTTTTTTTCTTCAAGCTTCAAACATTCATGAATATGTTAGAACTATGCATTTAACATCTTATATTGTTAGAAGTATACAAGAATAGTATCTGTCTGCTTGGGTTCATGTAGATAATTCTAAGATTTAAATTGACCCTTTAATGCATATGTTTTTTTTTCATATTTTAGATAACTCTTTTGTATATAAAAAAATCAATCTGGAATTACAGGCAAATCATTATAACAAGGTATATATACTATAATAATTTAAACAAAGACATTAGTCATTATTCATGACTGTTCAGAAGGCATATTATTGTTGTTGTTTTTATTCTTTTCCAGTAAATGGATGTAATATTTTCTCTCTAGCCATCTTTGTTTTCTTAGTTCTGTTTAAGTAATAGATATATATCCAAATATCAACTTTTGTTTAATGTCTTTTATAATGACTAAGAATTTTATATGATTATAATATATTGTATGTACTTGTGAATTTGTAACAAGGTCTCAGACCATGTTAAATTATCTATATATTCAGAAAAGGTTATGTTGAATATTCATTCGAACTTATATAGACTTAGACTGTAACAATTTCAGAGAATGGTTTGTTTACAGGAAAATCAATGTTCATTTTTGATTTTACGGGCTCAAAAAAACATTACTATATCCATTTATGGCGCTTTTGACATAAATTACATCTTTCGTAATAAGGAAAGAGTGATACCACTGTATACTCCTTAATGGTAAACGATTAAGCGGCAGAAATGTCTTCCAGTCATACCTATAACATATTTTGACGAAGTTGATAATATGTTACTCATAAATTACTTGATGTTTAAGCATGACAAGCAATTACAAGTTATACACGTACCAGTATTATGGCAGCGTCTCAGCCGAAGCCGAATCAAGCTCTATCTTTAATGTTTTATGGTTAATAATCTTTATCAAAATGTTACAAACTTGCTTGAATGGGATGTAACTTATAGAAATTGAAATACTTGTATAGAATACCGAGTGCAATTCCGACATCCGTCTTTGAGAAAGAGCATGGGACGATTATTTAACTTACAGCAGATTTGTTTTCAACGGTTGCCACCTGCGAAATATAGCAGCGAAATACTCAAAATCCGTGCGTCTAAATATATTTTAGATGTGTCATAACCCTCCATCCACAAGACACCTGAAATTGAATAAAAATATATCCACGGTATGTTATCGTTCCGGGCTGATTTGAAATATTTCCCCCTTGCCGAACTGATTTGGATTGATGGCATCGAATTGATTAAGATAATACAGAGATTTAGCTTGACGAGGTAAGAAGATATAAAAAAATAAACACATTTACATCTGTTAGTCTTCGAATTTTTTATCTTTTCTTCTAAATCAGCCCGGAACGATTACATATTGTCATATCGATGGCTGATTATTTATAGTTCACGCTGGTGTGTTTTACTTAAATAAAACATGACGATTACAAGTACGTCTGTTCCCCTTATTTGTATAGGAATATAACGATTGCACTTTTTTTCTCTCCTAATTTGTAAAGTAATATAACGATTGCAAGTAGAATGATTCCCCTTATTTGTATAGGAACGTACCAATTTCAAGTAGATTTGTTCTAGAGTAATCGATTAATTCGTTAGTTAATTTTGAACTAAATGCCGGTTTGTTTGTACTAAACATTGTTCTATAACATGCGCTGACATTCATGTACGTTTGTACATGTGTTTGAAAGCATACAAAAAAGCAACTGCTCAATTAGTGCAGATCAGAATCATTTTAGTGTGTTCTGTTTTAGCGTAATTAGAAAATTCATATTATACGAATATAAAATAAAATCTAAAGATTTTCCTCATAAAAGTATGCTAGAACAATACAAGGTATGTTTAAAAGAAATGCTTTAAATTCTAGTAGTTAAACTTTAACAGTTCAAAGCTTTTACAAATTTAACCAACTGAACCTTTACTTTTCTAATGTTTTTCTTCAAGCTTCAAACATTCATGAATATGTTAGAACTATGCATTTAACATCTTATATTGTTAGACCTATACAAGAAAAGTATCTGTCTGCTTTAGTTTATGTAGATAATTCTAAGATTTAAATTGACCCCATTAATGCATATGTTTTTTCATATTTTAGATAACTCTTTTGTATATAAAAATTCAATCTGGAATTACAGGCAAATCATTATAACAAGGTATAATATATACTATAATAATTTAAACAAAGACATTAGTCATTATTCATGACTGTTCAGAAGGCATATTATTGTTGTTGTTTTTTTTCCCAGTAAATGGATGTAAATAACTCTCTAGCCATCTATGTCTTCTTAGTTCTGTATAAGTAATAGATATATATCCAAATATCAACTTTTGCTTAATGTCTTTTATAATGACTAAGAATTTTATATGATTATAATATATTGTATGTACTTGTGAATTTGTAACAAGGTCTCAGACCATGTTAAATTATCTATATATTCAGAAAAGGTTATATTGAATATTCATTCGAACTTAGACTGTAACAATTTCAGAGAATGGTTTGTTTACAGGAAAATCAATGTTCATTTTTGATTTTACGAGCTCAAAAAAAAACATTACTATATCCATTTATGGTTATAATAGAGAAAAGGTCAAATATTAACTATAAATTATAAAGAAGTTTCTGAAAATGTCTAATGGTTTGTTTATACATTTAGAAAATATCATAATTATGTAATGTCCTCGTAAACTTATATGAATTTATATACTATTGTATGTTTTTGTGAATTTCAATGTTATAATGTTTGTATGTGAAATCAGAAAATATAGTTACAAATTAAAAACAAAATTTAACCAACTTGATAAAACTTGATAAAAAAAGAAAATATAAGAGACAAAGGACACATTTAGGTGCAGATATTTGTATATCCAAGAAAGAGTTACATAACTACTTTATCACTATCATAAGGATCCAATATCAATTTGTAGTTTCCTTTCTTACGCAGAAGATGCTGAATATGATGTTAGAAAGAGCTGTTAAAGAATGTTCAAGGTCACTTTTTATCATTGATGAAATGGACAAATTACCTCCTGGTTTGATTGACACTATCCGCCCTTACGTTGATGACTACGAACACGAGGAAGGAACATACTTTAATAAATTTCTTTTTCTCTTCTTAAGGTAAATGTTTTCCTGTTCATGAATCCATTTACATCATAAAAATGAAGAGAGTCATTTGTACAAAAAAACAAAAACAAATAGAGTATTCTTGTTACGTGCAGTATTTCACGAGAAAATGAAGAAAGTTCATCCTGAGCTGTTACTTCATATACCAGGTAGTAAAGAACTTCTTGTACCGTGTTTATTGGTTCTATGTTTGCGGTGTTCATATCATCATGCAACTTCATACAACACATGTAAGACAGTTATATAGAATAAGGTAATTCCCTGCAGTTTCGAAATCAGTAATGTCAGGTAGTAGCTTTACGACAGAAAATATTTAATCATAGAAGCCCTACATAAATTTTTTTCACGGGCGGAGACAGTCTTGCTAAACATGTTGTGCAAAGTTATACTCGTGGAAATGACAGAAGAGAATTGAGACTAAAGGATATGGAAGAAATTGTACGGATGTCATCGTTAAATGAACCAAGTAAGTTGATTATTAATTGTATTTAAATACTTACAGAACTTACCCTTGTGTTTTATACCCTTGTCATAATGGATTTAGAACATAAGGTGCAAAAAAATAAGCACTGAATGTGAAATAAATTGTCATAAAGGCAGCAACATATCAACTAAGTAGATATTTGGCTTCCATACGCAAATACTAAATCACTGTAACGGTACTAATTTCCAAACGCTTAAATAGCTAAAGATGGATTTTTCGTCGTGATTTTATTTCCGAGGTAACAATTTTAAAGGTTTCTCAGCTAAAGGACAGAGGAGTAACTTTTTTTTGGAAACAGGACACAAAATATAAAGCTTTAAAAAACAAAATGAATATAACGTCAGTTTATGACGTAATGGGTCTTTAAATGTTTTGCCATATTTATAACTAAAGATAAAAGTGTCATTAACTAGTATTTCATATTTACTTTTATTTGCAATTCTTTAGGGAATTCATAAACAATTGATCTCTTATGACATTATTTTGTCTTTCTCATATAGATGGTTTGTCGAAAAGTAGCATCGTCAAGAATAGCCTTATTACCGCTTTTATCCCATTCCTACCACTGGAAAGAAAAGATGTTGAAAAATGCATTATAGACGGACTATTTACAAGAGGATTGTATGCGTATGAATACCAAATAGATAATGAATAAGTGAAATCAATTGCAGATGAAATGCTGTATTTTCCAAAATTTATTAAATTATTTTCAACAACTGGCTGCAAGCGTGTTATGGAGAAAATTGATTTGGTAATGTTGGAAGAGGCATAAAATTTGACATTTACGTGTGATTGTTTTGTTAAATTTATTTTAAACATATTTTATTTCCCAGAATATGTTTCAATTTACAATATACACAAAGAATTTCAAATATTGTAACAAAATAGGATTTTAATGAAAGACAAAGTGTCTTGTGATATTGTTCTCCTTTGTGAGTAGTTGACATATAACAGGCGCTTAAATCATAACAAACTGAATAATCTGAAAAGAATATATATTAACAAATCAAAATTAGTTAATATTGGTATGCATTTGTCAATGACTGAATTATTATCATGATATGTTATATAATAACTGTAAATAACGAATCCGTATACCTTACATACCTTTCTTTATGTATATTATTCAATTGGACATATATTTGGGGGAAAAGTGATTTAGAAATGTTTTATCGCCATAATGCAAAGCAGGAGTTACAATAATAGTAAGGTACAAATATCAAAATATACATGTATATGGCATGTAAAAAATTTGTTTGTGGCTTTCGCGGGATAGGAAGAATTTTTTTGACTGTATGAAATTAACGGTTACTGCGTGGTTTTGAATGGATTTATCATTGCCACCTATTTTGATGAGAGGTAACCAATCGTAAAATTATAAACGAGATACAATTTAGGGAAAATGTTGATGAACAAGTAAAGAAAACCGTGACCCAGGTGTTCCTCTTAGTATGACTTTACTAATTTGGAGACTCTATGATGGACAGTTCTTAAAGCCCTTTGGGACTGAATTGTCTTAATGTTCGTCTTCTGTCTTGCTTCGTCGGGCCCTTGTAGGTGATTTTCTTGTTGCTCTGCCTTCCTTTAAGGCATCGAGTACTTCTGTAATGGTCATTAGGTTGTACCTTTTTCTACATATTTACATAATTTTGTATGTGTTTTATTTATTTCGTCTAATGTAACCATGACCATTGTTAGAATTTCACTTGGCGGGGATTATTTTTATTTACACTTTAATGTCATTCAGGAACATATTGGGGCTAAGAGTGAGGTTTGGCGCGCCTAAAACCGGTTTAAACTCCCCAGTGGTTTAACTACCACAGATCGTTTTGGGGCGGTACCCCTCTGTGTTCCTTCACGTGTTTTTCATGTCTGTTTTGTTACTTTTTTTGGATGTTTACATGCTTTGTGATGTCTGTTAGATTGTCGTTGGCGGTAAGTATTTTTCTCAATCCCCCCTTCACCAATGTTTACCCCCCCCCCCCACTTTTCACCCTTACAGCCCTTATCCCTTAAATTCCCTTATGGGCCCGTTTTAGTTGATATTATTTCACATTACATGTCCCACTCCTTTCACCCTTATGTCCGCTCTAGGTTTTTTTGAGTGTGTCGGGGGCCGCGTCCTGTGAACGTTGGCTTTGCCTTGTTGATCTTTATTCTTGTTTTTTTATTACCTACTTTAGTTTTTTCAAGATGACCCATATTCTAACCAGACCAATGTACATGAAGATAAACAAAGCTTTAGGAAGATCAGTGGAAATATGTCTTTTAAACATTAACAAGGTTTGTTCTTGATTTGTCGATCTTGTGATCCAGATTTTGACATCAGATTGCACATATTACAATTCAGTCAAGATAACATTAGTATGAACATTTTATCAAGGCTTGCCTGCCCGTGCTCTGCCTTGTGTCCTGTCCTGTTTTTCTTTGGGGTCCTCCTGGGCTCCTTACCGATGGCGCTTGTTGCTGGGTCGGGTGGGGGCTGCGTTCATTGAGCGCCGCCTTTCCTTGTCAATCTTGTTCATCATATTTGATGAAGTTCAAACCACATGTGAGTCATCTAGACTGTTAGCAAGAGTTTTATTCACCTCTATAGTGTGTTAACAAGATTGTATTCCATCTCTATATCTATATAGTGTTAACAAGATTTTTCTTCACTTCTATAGTGCTTACAAGATATTTTTCTTCATCTTTATGGTGTTTACAAAATTGTCCTTTATATGACATGATAACCTATCGCCATAATACAATGTAGGAGATCCAATTATGGTTAGGTACAAGTAACAAAATATACATGTATATGGCATGTATAAAAAAGCTGTATGTGGCTTTCGCGGGATAGAAAGAACAATGAAAGATATACCTTGTGGTACGTGTTGTCCATTTTTGAAAGGTATTGAACAATTGCACACTAACTATATATATTTTCTCTATTTTTGACTGTATAAAATCTAGTGGCAATGAATCGTTTTGAATGGATTCCCTATAGTCCTCTTTTTTTTGGTCCGAGGTATTCTTGTCAAAAATATATTCCGAAAATGTTGATGAAGAAGAAAAGAAAACTGTAACCTAGATATTCTTTCATTATTTATTTATTGATTCAAAATGACCCATATTCTAACCTGACCAATGTAACATGAAGACAAACAAAGCTTGATGAAGATCGATAAAATATGTCTGTTAGAATATAAATTAACATGGTTTGTTCTTGATTTGTCCTTGTGATCTAGATTATTACCTTAAGGGCCAGTTACACAGACGGTCGGTCCCCAATCAGTCATTTTATTTTAAATTTACACTCGCTGTTATGATCAGTTGTCATGCGTGATTTTATTTCTGGTTTTCTGTCTAAACGGCCATCGGTGACAGAAAGCAACCTCAAACAGGGTTGGATCGGTGATAAAAATGCTGAAATACTATCGGTTTTTATCGTTTGTAAATCGGAGCTAAAATCGGGCGTAACGCTGATTAATCGGTGTTTGATAGCTCGTCATCGTGGTTAAACACTTTCCGTCAGATATGGCCGGTGATTCATATTTGGTTATCTTTGTCCGATCGGCGATATCGGTGATTAAGAGCTTGCATATCTCGTGATTTAGGTTGCTGTCGGTTATTTGTAAAATATTTTCACCGATCGAGAATTTTAAACATGTTTAAAAATCCCAAGCGTTATTTTTTCACCGATAAAACTTATTTTTCCCCAACATGGAAAACAGGTGACCAATAGGTAATATCGGTGTTAAATACGTTGTCATCGGTTCACTCCATAATTTGGCTAAAAAATACCGATCTATCACCGATGGCTCTGTGTAACTGGGGTGTTAGATGGCACATTTTCAAATTCATTCAATATAACATTAGTATGAACATTCTACCAAAGTTTGGTGAAGTGAGGCGTCTAGAATGTTAGCAAGATTTTTCTTTACCTCTATATAATGTTAACAACACTTTCCTTTGACTATATAGAGTGCTAAAAAAAGTTTCCCTTTACATCTATACTGTGTGGTTTCTTTAATATTTGTGTATAATAGTGTTAGAAATATTTTCATTTACCTCTATAGTGTGAACAAATTTTTTTTACTTCTTAAGTGTTAACAAATTTTCTTTTAATATGACATTATAACCTTGTTTGTACTTCAGTTGATCCATCTACAAACTTATCAAAGATATCATTTATAATAATTCTGACAAATATTAAAGAAACCACACCAAATGTTTAGCAGCTAGAATGGTTAAGTTTTACTTTTGATTAATCTGGTGACTGAGTGTTTAATCCTGATGACTCATAGACATGTATTAAAACTCATACGAATTATTTAGATAAACCTTTCCGCCAAAGTTGGCCAATATTAAAACTTATTTGAGGAACTACTTAAATGAACATTCTGACAAAGACAAGAATAAAGATCAACAAGGCAAAGGCAACGTTCACAACACGCAGCCCCCGACACACCAAAGTAGGGCACCCAGAAGGCACCAAACCAAAATCCGGAGTGGACACAAGGGCGGC